GCCATGCGAGAACGATTCTGGCTTACGAATGTCCGAAATCTTGTTCGCACAGTACTGCATGAATGTGTTGCATGTTTCCGCCGATCACATCCACAAGTTCACGAACAGCTTATGGCAGACCTTCCTCTAGAACGAGTCACTCTCCCCTGCTTTCCCTTCCAGCGAGTTGGAGTTGATTACTGTGGACCATTCACAATCAGGTACCCTCAACGTCATGCACAACCGAGTAAATGTTTCGTCGCAATCTACGTATGCCTGGAAACGAAAGCGGTTCACTTAGAGCTAGCAGCAGACTTGTCTACACAAGGGTTCCTAGCTACTTTCAAACGATTTATCGCTCGCAGAGGAAAGCCACAAGTTGCGATAATGCAAAAAACTTCGTTGGTGCAAGACGAGAAATCGCTGAGGTTCACAATCTGGTTAAGTCAAGGGACTTTCAGAATTCTGTTGTAAATCTCGCAGCTGAAGAAGGCATAGAATTCAAGTTCATCCCTGCACGATCACCTAACTTTGGAGGACTGTGGGAAGCATCGGCGTTCGAACTCTCGTGTACGACGAAATGCAAAGGATTCTCGTACAGATCGACGCAGTACTGAACTCTAGACCGATCCTGAAGACTTTGAGACATTGACACCAGGACACTTTCTAATTCAACGACCTCTAATTACACTTCCGGAAGTTAACTTGGATGGTTGGAGTTTCAGAGAATCGGCTATAAACATACATCACCTCATGCAAGGCATGCAAGGCATATGGAAGAAATGGTCTACACAATACCTGTCAGACCTACACCATCGAACGAAGTGGACAAAACGAAGAGACCAGAGCGTAAAATTATTGACTGCCTACACGCTATTTCAAAACTACCCAAATTTTGGTAGAATCCACCCAGATCTGTCAATCCTATTATAATCCTATGGCAGTTAAGTTTCATAAAATGAGGACCCCTACATGAGAATCACATAGCTCTTATGGGAAAAGTACGATGGAATAAATCTACGTATGTTTTCACGTAGCATTAACGTGAAAATTATTCTGAGTGTACTGACTGAGTGCTCGGCTGTCAGTGACTCGTTTACCTCTCACTCATTCAGACTCTCACGAGGCAGTGAATGATGAGGCAGATGGCAGTTCATATTCATATCAAAATGACTAAATGAACCTGACTGTTTTGCGCACTGGAAGAGACAACATCGCTGTTGGGACAATGGTTGTTCTAAAGGATGAAAACCTTCCGCCACTCAAGTGCCCACTAGCGCGTGTTACCGAAGTTCACGCAGGAGCAGATGGGAACGTTCGAGTCGTGACGGTGCAAACCAATGACGGTAGCTATCGTAGAACAATTTCAAAAGCATGCTTTCTACCGATACGAGACAATCTTGCTTTAGCAGCTGAGGAGAACTAGAACTCCTCCAATGGCGGATGGTGAGAGGCCGCCGCATACCAGTTAAGTTACGTATTTCTTAAAATTTCAAAAAGTTGACCGCCTATTGCATTCAATTTGGACGATTCAAGCTACTCACTGAATTTCGTGTTGTCTCTGACCAGATAAGGTAATCTGTGTTGTCCGGTGGTAGTTACATGTTGCATGTGTGGTGCATTTTGTGTCCATTCAGAGCTATCGCCTGATTTCAATTGAAATTACAGAGGCGCCGAGCGCCTGCATTGCGCAGCAGTGCTCCAAATAACAACTGCATTCCGGGCAAGAAGATGTACACTTCAAACCCTGATTCAACGAAGTGGTCGTCAGCGAACTTGGCCAGTTCACCTGATCGATCATATCATCGGGGAGCCAAATCGAACCTTAGCGGTCAAGAGGGAAGTCTACCTATCCCTATCAGGAATCATCGAAACGTCATCATTAGCGGGAGATCATCGATGCCAGAGGGCGTCCGCGACACCACCACCGATCGAACCACGGCGTTCGGTTCGTCCTGTCAGTCCACCAACAAAGTTCACTAAGAAGTTCATCCCGTCCATCGACATTCACGTTGAAACAACAACGTCTTAGCAGCAATTGGTCCGAAGATCCACCCGAGGAAATCTCAGCATATAGTCTATTGAACCATCGAGGTAACAAGATTGGCTACTATCCTGAAGCGAGATTCAGCACCGCACTACCGAAACCATCAAGAAGTCGTCTACCAAATCTGCGAAGTAAACATTTGAATTGTCAAGCACACGTCGTCGCCCGGAGATCATCATCGAGCGAACAACACTGGAAGGCATCATATTCGTAGTAGAAAATCTACAGGTAGTTCAACACGGCCTGCCAGGTAAGTTGTTCCGGTTTTATACTGCATTCTATCATGATACTCCATATTCGTATTCACTTACTTCGAGGGAAACATCACCAACTTAACCGACGATGAGACACACCAGTAGATGACAACAGCGATCGACTACGAGCAGCGGATTACAATCCTTCCACTGATCAGCTGTTTCGTATAATATGGACCACATCAACAGCAACAGTAGGCAAGGAAAGTGAATCTGGTTGAACGATCCCACTTTCAGCAGGAGAACAATAGTGTTGATTTTGTACAAATGTTTAATGTGTCTATTATATAAGGAAGAATTAGCATAGCAAAACAAAATTAAAGATAGAAGCTAGAGTACTGCAATTGAAATCATAATTTTTCAAGGCGGCCGGCATATGTTCGAGCAAGACAAGTAGAGAAATATCGAGAAAACACGTCGTCGGTACATAAGCGAGTCGGTGATCATCTCTTTTTGCCAGTGGTGGCGGGGGGATACACCTCACCATCCCTCTCCAACGGGGGGAGTTTGGTGAAGAGAGAGATGATCAAACCGATTTGTACCTTCCTAAAAAGTTGTCCTTGCTCGGTTTCTACTCTCTATATACAATTATCATACTGTCGTACTCTAACGGAACTATCAACTCTATACTTTCATCTCCTCATCTATCGTATAAAAAATACAACTTCAGCCTATTATTTGAAATAAGCATCTTCAACTACATTTTTGGATGTTTTGGTGATCTAAAGCTATTTAAACGCATGGAAGAAATTCATGCATTATACAAGCAGGCAGTTCAAGGCGATTTAAGATCATTTTCATCTATCTTAAAAATTTAAACTGCATTTTTCGAGTTCTAAGAACTCCCACTACCGTAGATAGAGAATTTTAGAAACTATCAAATATTTGGAAAATTTCCGAACACTTTGGTCTGCAGGAACATTTTGGTTACTTAGGTACCAGAAAGTGCTGGAGTTCTGAGAATTCTTGTAGTTTATACTGTGAAGTTGTGGAAGTTCTCAGAGTACTGGAATATCTTTTCTAGTTCTAGAAATTCTAGCATTTCTTGCGGTTCTTAACATTCCGTGAGATCTATAATAGGCTTTTACAATGTTCAGACTACCAGAGCATAAAGGAGTTCTAAGAAATGGATGCTTAAGTTACAGTGTAGTTCTGAGAGTTTTTGCAATTCTCAATTAGGTTCTGTACAGGATTCTACAACTAATGTAGATGTAGAGTACCTAAGTTTCATGAAGTCCCCAATAGCTCTAGGGGCTGCCGGCTTTCAAGCTGTTCCTGATAGATCTCAGAGTACGGGAATGTTGCCAAAGTTCCAGCAGATGATGGAGGTCTGAGAGAATTTCTGTAGGCTTGTAGATAGTATGGTGCTAACAAAAATTCTGCATGACAAATACACACTCCAAGAGAGTTGAAAACAAAAAAAAACAACTGTTGGGAACTGGCTGTAATATGACCAACGGCATTTTTCTCATACTCTTCTTTTTAAAAACTAATTCAAGAGTGAATGTTCATATAGCCGTATCTGCTTTTCTAAACAAAGGTTCAAACGTCAATATGTCGTAACCCTTAGCGCACCAAGTTCTACAATTCTTTTAGCTATGGAGTTTCCTGGAATTCAATGGATAGCCGGAGATCCAGAAATTCCCGTGGGGTGCGACACATCTAAATCTCAATTTAAGATTGTCAAAAAATTTCGCGAATCAATTTACAAAAAATATTTTTTCATCTCTTGCATCTAAATCTATCTTCCTTCTATCTATAAGTAGCCGTTGGTCCCCGGTTCATGAGTTGATGGGTCGATAGGTAGGGTCCAGGTGTGGGAGCTGCCTCTCTGGCGTCGGTAGCATTGATGCTCAGCACGGAAAACAAGATCGACAGAAAACAAATCAAGGAAAAAAATAAGTTCTTTTCAGGGTTGAGGCGAAATCCATTATGCTAAACGACCATTACGTCAAGTTATTTGATGCCAAACGGCATTCCCCCATGTGGCACAAATCGACTTAAATTATTTTCGATTTTTTTTTCTCTTTTGCAACATGGGACAGCTATGCCTTCACCGACAACAAAGTTTACAAAAGCAGTTTTGCCCCTTTGGAAATGTCTATGAACATGTGAGAGGCCTTGGTGTGTCCAGTTCGTAGCCGGGACATGCTGAGATCTCTTGTTTATAACCAGTCCAAGGTCCAGCAGGTCCGAACCATGGCCGTCACTCACCGTTTCAGGTCCTGGTCTCGATTCCGCTGGGTGCATCCAAATGATCCAAATGAAGTTGAATGCTTGGGAGTGAACTTCTGGATATTAAGCATGCTTGACTGTGTCAGATCTGAGTGGTAATAATACGAATGGCTATCGGCTTGCTAGCGAGCGCTTCTGCCCTGAACATGCTACAGGGATCCGGAAGCCTGCGTGGAATACATTCAGTTCCGGGTCTGATTCCGACTCTCCATCGGGCCCGTGGAGGTGGTTGCTGTCCGTTTTCTTTGAAGTTCGATGGCCAATCTTACCAGCGCACATGAGTTGGTTTCCACCCGGAAGCTAAGTCAATTGAATGCTTGGGGGAGTTTCAAACCCCGGCTCCACAGCAGTGGATCCTGGTTAACGGAGGGAGCTCCTGGTTGAACGAATTCATCGGTAGTTTGTTGGCTACCACGAGGAAGAACACTCCTTCTCCTGTGCCTGAGGTTTTCCCAGTGAAATCGATAGCTCTCCTGCATACTCACCATTTTGACTAGTTGCTGCTGCGGTGGCAATGGCGACGGCACTGGACACGTTGAGCGACGCATTGCCACCACCGGCTTGATGGTTACTGCTGGTATTGTTGGCGGAGGAACATATGGATGCAACGATGGACGACACAGAGGACGAACAAGATGACGACGACGACGACGACGACGATGATGACGATAACGAAACGGGAGACACCAGCGCTCCTGACAGCTGCTGCTGCACAGTTGCACTGGTGCTTACGGCAGTGACGACGGACTGCAATGACCCACTGGCAGCATCCACCACCGGATTCTGGTGAGCACTGAGCTGATGATTTTTTAGCCTCTGCGATGTCTTGTAGCTCTTGCCGCAGTGACATTTAAAGCCCTTCCGGACGCGACTGAAAATATACGGGATCGTGTTAAAAATAATTTCAGACGGGAAATTTAGCTTCGCAACATACTTTCCGTCCTTTTTATGGCCATTCTTCGAGTGATATTTGATTCCGTTAACGTTCTTGTATCGCTTCTTACAACCCGGAACGGGACATGCAAATGGTTTCTCGTTAGACGAATTTAATCCGTTCCCGCCGGATGACGAATGGCGCCTGCGGAGATGGAAATGTCGTATATTTAGTTCAAAATCATTTAAGTTAAATCAAACGCGTAAAATTACCTGCTTCCATAGCGCATGATGAATTCCGAACTGAACTCTTCCGTCGTCCAAGAATCGTTACTGTCTTCGGATTCGGAAACCATCATATCATCGTCGTCCATTTCGCTACCTGTAGTTCGAAAGAATGAGTATTAGTAATGATCTATCAATTAAGTAACAATATAACCTACCGGTGGGCGTTGTACTCCGATTCGACGACGACATGCTGTAGCTGTGGTGTTTAATGGCAATCTTACGCTTTATATCGGTACCAGCCGATCCTGCCGTTGCAAGTTTGCCGTCGCCACTGTTTCCACCAGCGTTCCCACCCCCTGTTCCACCGGAGCCGCTCCCGGCGGATCCAGTGCCCCCTCCGCCAGCGGATCCACCTCCTCCGAGTCCACCGCTGCCTCCAAGCAGCGATGACGAAGTGGTACTCCCGGGCGTCCCCGGTGGTGTGCTTTGATAGCCAGTACTATCGGCACCACCGCCACCGGCAGCACTGGATGCTGTGAGACCCGTTCCATTGAGACCAGTGCCACCGAGGCTACCCTTTAGGCTGCCACCCCCGGTGGCGCCATTGGTGAGCGATTTCTCCTTCCGCGATGGATCTGTGATGAACCGCAGCACATAGCTCAATGGAAGACACGTGGACTGAGACTTCTCCTTCTGGCCGAGGATCTGGGAGTCATAGTCTGTAATAGAAGGAATCGGATTCACCAGTTAGTATAATGATCAAACTAAAGTGCCCTTTTACATCTGTGCTTTCCAGTGTCAATTGTAAACCCATAATTAGCGAACAACATCTACAATGTCGTAATCAACTACTTTATCACTGATTGATGGCCCAATTATGATTATCACGTTCATCCACGTACTAATAAAAGCTTTCTCGAATCCTCATATCTGTTTACATTGCCTCCCCTATCGTGTGCACCACGTTCGATAAAGTGCATGTTGGTTGATACACAGTGATGGGCAAAATCTAGGATACTTCATCTTTATATGTTCAACCCTTTTCGATATCTCAGTAAATGAACGAATCAATCATAATCAAATAATTTCCCTTTTAAATGGATTATATATGTCAAACGGAATAATACCGACATTCCAACGGTTACACCACTTTTGCCACATACTGTTCGAACTTGATCCAAGCAGGGGTAGCTAACAATCTGCCCTTTCATCGTTGTAGTGTGACTTGTTCATTATCGTCACTACACTAAACAACACAACAGAAGAAAAAAACAAACCGCAGTAACTGCGCAATTCCACCACATCACACTCCCCCTTCCATTCCCCTTACTCACAAGCAACCCAGCGAAAACGGTAAGCTTCTTATCAAATATATCCGCCACAAACAACACGAATATATAGCTACCATCAAACAGTATGAATGTCGCCATCTAGATATCCCCCTCTGCCAACATAGACACTAAAAAAGCAGAAGTCATTCCCCACATTGCCTCATACATATCGATAACAATAGCATTTAGAAACCGCGAAAGGGCACCCCGCACATCTCGCCCGTTATGCTCGGTTTCTTTGATCTAAGCCACAGGCCAAACCCCCCCACGTTAGAATACATCACTCACGTTTCGGTCATGACTTCTGTTGCGAGGAATGCCACTGCGATTTATTATAAAAATGCATAGTTTTGGCCGAAGGCCAATAGAACCAAAAGCGACAGGAAGGGGGTTGTGGCCCAAGGCGAGGTAAGTCTTCAAAGCAAAGCAATATAATAACAGTGCGGCGAGGCGAGAGAGGAAATGATATCCAAATTAGAACCGACCGGGCAGCAATAAGCAACCGGTCAGGTACTTACACTCTTCTGTATATCTGCATCGGTTATCTGCTTAATTTATTTCCCCCTTCTCCCGGTTCTATGCTTCTATGTTTATTCTATGCCTACTATTCAATAGCACAGGTAGGCAGCTACATTTTCTCGGGTTGTTGTTTCGCTTCACCGGCTCACTAAACGCACTCCACCACCCATCGAGTCCACCGACTGCCGTATGTATTCTAACGCACACCAATGCATATACATATCGATGCAACATCCCAACCACCCACTCGCATCTACGTCATTGTTGGATATTGGATTCCATTCCGCTCCGTCCACTCAATGGACTCACCATTCTGCCACATACATGCACGCTTTTTGGGTGACCGAGAACCTCCAGTGGAGAGTAGTTATCTCTCCATAATCAATCTCTTGCTCTGGAAGCCATTCGCTTTCGCGCGCTCTCTCTCTCTCTCTATTTACAATCGTACGGTGGGCAGGGTTGGCAGATTTTCAGTATTTGTACAACGTTATAACATAACGTATCAAAAGAATTATCTGCAACGAACAACAAGTAGGGTAAACGCTTCGCCTATAGGAGGGTTTACCCTACCTAAATTTGATTCAAGTTTAAAATCTTTATTGGAAACTGAGCCAATTTAAAAAAAAAAAACTCAAAAGCTCATTTCACCAATCAGAGAATGTGATAGAATACGGGGTAAATGCTTAAAAATTTGACAAAAAGTTTAGAGTGCCCATTATTTAAGTTTGAATCAGTCCCATAAACGCTTTGTATGTGTAACAAAAAAGTTTCCAAATATTTTTCCATAGTATGAAGTTTCAAAGATTTAACATGATAAACATGTCAAGAATTACGATAATCTAATCTTTTTTTTAACTGTAAGCAGTTTCATATTTTCATAGTTTCGACCAACCAAGCGGGTATATTTAAATATTTAAAGACCATATTTCTCTGGCGGCCTGGTTTCCAACGAGAATTTCTTACTGTACACCATTTAAATCGAGCAAGAGGGAAACAGATTAGTGGGAAAACAAACCGTTCATTCATCTATGTGTACTAGATAGAGAAAGACGATTAAACGTCAAAAAGGTCTATTATGGTGGGATCTGGTGTCCGGCTCTCAGGCCTATAATGGTCATCAGGCCGAATGATTTCCAGCTTACGCAGACTCAAAAAAAAAATTTTTTTGACGTTAGATAACGTCTTTCGGCAACATACGGGGGTACAAAATTGAAAACAGTCATTTTGGATGAGTTACGAAAAATTAAAAGATTTTGAACGATAATAACTCAACCGTCTCTCGATAGATTTACGAGATAATGGCATCAATCGATTGGAAATATTTCTAGCTATTTGCTGAATGTTTCAAAACTATTGATTTCATTCTGTAAACTATTGAAAAATGGTTAAAAGTAAACCATTGTCTAAAGATGGTGAAAAAACGATTGATTTTTTATAGTCTTATACTTTCTCCAACCGAGACATCAGATGCGAGTATCTGACACCTCTGATAATTTCTGTTCTACTATATAAGCGTCCAACAAGGTCGCCCGTTCCATCATTGTCTATCCGATCGTCGACCCAGCAGCAGAGTAGCAGTACCAGAGCAGCGGAAGCAGAGCAACGGCAGCAGAGCCTGGGGGCGAAAGGGCAACTACGCCGAGTGCGTTGGTGCCAGTGCTTCGGTATACTGGGCCGCCGTCATGGAATGCCCAGCTGCTGCAGTTCTCAGTCGGTCGTATTCACCGTCTGCTCCGCAAGGGCAACTACGCTAAGCGCGTTGGAAAAATGGCCCTTTTCAGGGCCACAACATTATCAAGAAAGAGTTTAACTATTAATTTTCTAATGCCTTTCCGACAATTGAATATCGAAAGTTGAATCTTCGCAGAGCCATATTTTATCTCGAAAAATAATTTTAAAATTCTTAACAATGGATGATGCTACGAGAATCTTGAAAACATAATAAAATTTACTTAGAAAGTACCATAAAATATATGTTATTTTCTAGTGGATTGGGCAAAGACCTTTTCACTTTGATGCTACATGAAAATAAAGCGAAATTTATTTCCAAATCATATACCGGACCCACTGTGTTAGTTTTCAAAATCTCGAAAACAAACCCCCGTACACTCTACTTCATTACTTAATCTGGACTAGAACGGAACGAGCGAATTAAAATTTTAAAAGTTCACTACAACTCTCTTGAATTATTGTGGTGGCCCTGAAAAGGGCCGGTTTTTGTTAAGATTTCGACGGGGTAATTAAGCGCGTTCTCCACGAATACGACGAGCCAGCTGGATGTCCTTCGGCATGATAGTGACACGCTTGGCGTTGATGGCACACAGATTGGTATCTTCGAACAGACCGACCAGATAGGCCTCGCTAGCTTCCTGCAGAGCCATAACATCTGAGCTCTGGAAGCGCAGATCGGTCTTGAAGTCCTGGGCAATTTCACGGACCAGACGTTGGAAAGGCAACTTTCGGATCAGCAGTTCGGTGGATTTCTAATAAATAATAAATATTTTTTTTAACTGCAGCAGTAGCTTGTGTATTGTGTAGTAGAATAGGAATTTTATCGGGGTTTTCCCTGTTTATTCTCTTTAGTATGACTATGATTGCCCTCAGATTAACCAAGGCGCATGCAACCCAGGCGGTTTTTGTTGATTCTTTTGTATTTCGACTGGAATATCACTGCAAACGCACTTCTTACCCCAACACAGCAAAATGATTGTCGGTACTGGATTAGTAGTGGTAGATCTCATACCAGTAACAACCAACTTAGGTTAAATCTAACAACCTTAACTGAAAAAATCAGCTTTTTATCACATCCCTACCACCTTTCAAATCCCGACAAGAAAGTTAATTAAAAACACCTTTTTTTTATTCATTTGGTGACCCTGACAAGGGCCGGTTTTTTTGTCTGAGCCGATAATTTATCCTCCGAAACCGTACAGAGTGCGTCCCTGTCGCTTCAGAGCGTAAACGACATCCATTGCAGTCACCGTCTTCCTCTTAGCGTGTTCGGTGTAAGTAACAGCATCACGGATAACGTTCTCCAGAACACCTTCAACACTCCTCTAGTTTCCTCTTAAATAAGCCCAGAAATTCGCTTGAATCCACGACAAGCCAGACGACGGATAGCAGGTTTAGTAATACCCTGAATGTTGTCACGCAGCACTTTTCGATGACGCTTTGCTCCTCCTTTGCCGAGTCATTTTCCTCCCTTGCCGCGTTCAGTAATTGTTGGAGATGGTTAGTGTATCGTTGATAAAGGTTGAGACGAAAGTGAAATTTTTTTTCAAATTTCGACTTTTTTATACCTACTCGAGGGTTAAATTCTTCTTGTTAGTTGTTGTATTCTGTTCTTTCATCGTTTCTGATTGGTTGAACGCAGCAAACGCATGTTATAAAACAGAATGGAAGTCATTTTTTTTATTCCACAGTTTGCTTTCAACGTGAGCACATCGTGTGCAAGGAAAATGGCTCGCACCAAGCCGACCGCTCGAAAGTCCACTGGAGTAAAGGCTCCTCGCAAGCAGTTGGCAACGAAGGCCGCTCGCAAAAGCGCTCCAGCCACCGGAGGAGTAAAGAAGCCTCATCGCTACCGGCCAGGCACATTCGCCCTGCGTGAGATCCGTCGTTATCAGAAATCGACCGAACTGCTGATCCGCAAGTTGCCTTTATTGGTATCTTCAAACAGTCCGAATAGATCGTATTGATCACTTTCGTTTCAACCTCCATCGACGATACTTTTACCATATTAGAAAAGACTGGACGCGGCAAGGGAGGAAAAGGCCTTGGCAAAGGAGGAGCCAAGCGTCATCGAAAAGTGTTGCGTGACAACATCCAGGGCATCACTAAACCTGCAATCCGTCGTTTGGCTCGTCGTGGTGGAGTGAAGAGAATATCCGGTCTCAACTACGAAAAAACCAGAGGAGTGCTGAAGGTATTTCTGGAAAACGTTATTTGTGACGCCGTTACTTACACCGAACATGCGAAGAGGAAGACTGTCACCGCCATGGATGTCGTTTACGCTCTAAAGTGGCAAGGACGTACTCTGTACGGATTCGGGGGTTAATTTAGTATCATCGACTCAGAACAAAAAACCGGCCCTTTTCAGGGCCACCATATAAATTAAAAAGGTGTTTTAGAATTGACTTTCTTGCCAGAATGTGAAAGGTTGAAGTGATGTGATGGAGCGTTCATCGATCTGCGGGTGTTAAGCTTAAATCAACGTAGGTCCTGCTGGTTACCGCTACTAATCCAGTACCGACAATATTCTGCATACATTTTGGTGTGGTAGTTCCAGATACGTCGTGCACTTCCGGAATCGAGAGAAGAAATTAATGAAAACGCCTGAGTTGTCCGAACGCGCTTTGGGGAAAGATATCGCAAAAGAGTTAAGGAATATTCCTAAAATATAATATACACAATTAAGTACAACACATAACAGACGTTATCCAACGCCAACCCTGCGGTCGTATCTAGTATACAACCCTTCCAACTTTTTTAACATTTTCAATACTTAGATATATTTTTAGACTATTCGGACTAGGAAAACTTTTTGAGAGATCTCGGATTGTAATTTTTGTTCATAGAATAAATTTTATACATCCCCTAAAATTTGAAAGATTCAAGTGTGAGGCTAGGTTGGGATACATAATTTGAATGATAAAAGCTAGTATTTTGGGTTTCATATAGCAAAGGTCTATGATTTATAAAGATTTCAAATACGTTCTTGAATTGAAGAATATTGGCTTAAGAAACATCTCGGTAAATCAAAAGAGGAGAAATAGCGATGAAGAAAAATTGGAATAATTAAGGAGAAAAGAAAACTCCTTAATTATTATTTGGCATTTACTTTTGCCATACAGCTTGATTCTCATTGCGCAGATATTGACATTTATTGAAAAATCTCAACCTTTTGTTTTGATTTTGCTAAAAAAAAGTCTCTGTGTTTTTATGGATTTTATCGAATTTGAACGATTAAAACTCTAAAATTGATTGTGTCAAAAAAAGATCTGATTTCGGATTTGTGTCTCAAGGACGAAAAGTGGCAGAGAGGCTGATAGGCAAACTGAAGGTCATCAAGATGGAGTGAATCAAGCGGGCCGCCGTCCGGGTAGTAAAAGCATTTATTCATAAGATTTTGAAACATGAAAAGGCAGGCTGTGACGGATTATTCAGACAGTGATAGATGAGGATCCAGTGGAGGTGCCTAGGCAAAATGTTACAATATTCAAGAATAGATATGAAAAACATCGAAAAGTGATAGAGAAAGAGAGAAGAGTATTCCACTACAGATGCCGATTATTCAACAGGGCTCAACGAAAATAGTAGTAGGTTCAATATTATTATGATATTGATCCTACCACCAATAAATTAGTTCCGAACGGCCGGAAGTCCAAGCTGGTGCACGGGATGCTCACTATGCCCCTCTTACCCCTACTACGTGTATGCGGGGCTTGTTGTAAGTGAAAGTAACCTCGGAATGGACGTGAGTGACCAGGCATTCTGAAATGCCTGCTTCTGAAATTACTGAATCTCAACAGAGCTATCACCTTTCAACTTCCGGTCTAAAATTGTTCACAATGGGATCAGTATAATATAATAATAGATTATATTGCAAACATTTTTCTTCCATTTTGTGCCGGACAGTGGAAGTTGGATTGTATATACATACATACATACATTATTCAAAAATCTCAACCTTTCCATATGGTATATTATATTAGCTTAGAACAATATATCTCGGATGATACATCATATTAGTTGTATCTAGCTAGTAGGAATTTACCATTGACTGTTTTGACGGGGAATGAAGAAAGTATTGTGGACTGGAAGAACCTCAAACTAAGTGTAGCTCAATTTATAAATATGAAATCGTCAAGATTCTTGCAAACATCCTATACAGAAGAGATTACAGCATGAGCATTATACAACATGAAACAAAATATGTTGTTTTCGATATTTTCCATACAAAAAGGCAGCGAGAAAAACTACCCATAGAAATAAACGCTCCAATTGACCCACTTTTTGTATGAAAGGACGCAAACGAAACATTTCATTAGTAATCTCAAAATGAAGGGAAAAGCCCCTCGTTTGAACGGCGACGAACAAATCGACATGGAGCATGCATAATGGCCTAACTGCGATGATCGATTCTCTTCATCGATTTTCTCTTTAAATTGCTACAGCTAAGGGAACCAATTTTCTGAAATGTGTTCAATACAGTGCTGTAACAGGTTGTATTGGCTATCAAAAGCAACAAAAAGCGCCCCGAGAAATGTTTATCCAAGCGAGTTATTTACAAAATAGCTGTGCTCACTGTAAAAGTACACCTTGCGGTAGAGCCATCGGTTATGAAGCTGCAACAAAAAACTTTCGCTTAACATTTGAAAAGGGCCTATCCTCGTTGATCGATTCTCTTCATCGACTTTATCTTTGGTATACCATGGTAACATAAACGAATTTCTCGCTAAGCTCGCAGCACAGTTTGACAGAAGATGATGTTAGCTTGCGCCTGGAACAACACACTCAATGGGAAATTCATTTGCAGTCGGGTTATTTACGAAAGATAAAATCGATGAAGAGAATCAATCAACAATGATAGGCCCTTTTCTCGTGTTGCGCGAAAACTACGCCTAAAATCTAATGTGTGAGGCAAACTCGATGTAAACAATAAACATATTAGCAAATATGTATCATTTTAATTAACCTACACTACGTTGCTGGGCCCTGCTATTTGTGCACCGCAAGCATGATTAGTAAAAGTATAGATACCCGACAAGTAAATAAATTTATAACCTGTTTAACAACATTACTGCTTCACCACTGCGACCAGTATATTAATCATATTGCTTACTAATTGCCTGTACTGGCCACGCTGGCACCTCTGCCTCATTATCCATTCATTGATTAGTCATACATTCTGCATTCTCTCCCTCTCTCAGCTGGCTCTCCCTCTATCTCTTTTACTATTTACATTTCCACTTGCTGCTGTGTTTACGTTATCCAAAAGTCTTTCAAGAACATCCGATTTTCCATTTCACACGCGCCCGAGGAGATCCCGTGATCTTCCACCAAAACAAAATAATGTTATCCCTCTCTGGCGCATGCACTCACACTCGCGAATATCCATATCCGCGCATGCATCAGATGACCCGATCGGCGATTGTTGGTGGTTTGAATCATCGCTAGAATTCGCCCCATCCATAGCACGAGCGCGTGAGTGATCCAGAGAGCCACCCTCAGGCCACCCCACCCCTTTCGAGTGACGATTGCACACACTGAATGCTGCTCTCTCGCTTTATCCCTCTCACTAGATCGTCATTCTTATCGAAACACACAAACCCATTCAAGTATAGGTATATTTGTTAATAAATGGCCAACTAATTGGACTTGGGGGCACCCCTAAAAGGCCCCAAAATTGACCACCCTGGGAAGCACAGTGCGCGTGTAAATTATTCGTCATCCACCGGTACTCACCTATGTGGGTATCCTCGATGTGCTGTATTAGATCACCCAAGCTCGGAAACGTAATGCCACAACCATTGAACTTGCATATGTTAATTAAAAACACAGCCATATTCAAGCCAACTTCTCTCTTCTGCTCTTTCGCCCGCTTGCGTACGACGACGAAGCTCGCAGCTCCTACCTACACTTCTAATCTCACTTGAACTACTAATGGATTTCTTCTTGTACACCGAGAGCTGAAACGGCGACCGATCACACGACACTCACGTACAAACGCAGCTCTCTCCTTCTGGCTAGGCCTAACTTCGCAGTACTACTGACTGACTGACTGCGCTGCGACGGGCGACGACGGCGACCTGAACCCGTAGGCCAGGGACAGACAGCAGGCAACAGAGGGCGACGATGCAGTCAGTGGTGCCCCACACACAGGCGAGCGAATCAAAGATGGTTGACGGAATGGCACGCACACACACTCATTTACGCGCGACAGCCAGCTACCTACACTCGCGAGTGTCCCGTTGGAAATCTCCGCTCGGTGCTTCTGCTGCTGCGCTTTTTCCTTCTACCTCTCTTCGTCCACAAATGCACACACCTAATGGATATATAGAATACGTGGGAAGTCTACACAACACCGAATCGACTGGTGCCGTACCTACTGGCTCGCTGCGCCGCGACGGTACCGATATTTTTATTTACACTTTGAATGGGCTGCTGCTGTAAGGTTGCCGCGGCGGTGAGTGGCCGTTGTTTGAGTGTGTGTTGCTATAGAGACGTTCTTGACTGAGAACGGCTGAGGAGCTGTGAACACGGAAAGAAAAGAAAGGGTTATTTAGTATTAACTATTTTGATTTATAATGCAGTTAGGGTACAGAGAACTATCGAGCAGAAAGCATCTCACATAGGAAATGGATGTAATGTCGGCCTGAATGCTCATAATTGGGGCCCATACAGAAATTCAGCAGTCGACTAAATTTTCAATAGCGACCAAAAATATTCATTAGTACCGTCCCAATGACACTTTCAAAACAAACGAAGTGACAGAGGACTAACTGGCGAAGAAATCCATTAAAATAATGTGGTTCACTGTAATAGAATTTTCTTAGAAGCTTGTGCCATCATTCACCAGATGGGTTAGTTTTTTTGTTATGATTTGAACAAAGTTGATTTTGTGTACAATGATTCTTTGACAGTGTGCAAAGAGTGTATCATTTTGTCATTTTTTTATGCATTTCAGTTTTGAGTAGAGTGAAAGAGATAGAACCAAAACATTATAATACATTTGGTGAAAATGCTAGTACAATCCAGTAGTAGTATTGCCATGTGGTACAATCCAGTAGTAGTGGTGTTACCATGTGGTACACTGAAAAATTGAAATAGCAGGTTAGTCACCAAAGTTTTCGAGCCGCTCCGTCTGTCACTTCGTTTGTGCTTTCATCTAAAAAAAAATGATAAATAGCTGATTTTTAACGATGGACCCAATCTTAGATACATAGGCCAACATTAGAGCCATTTCAAGTCAATTATAGTAAACGTTCGCTAACTGAAAGGGAGTTTTTGAATATTTGGCATTTTTGATTAATGTTTGGCAATGGATAACTGCATGCTGTCAGTTTTAGTTTCACCACTACTGACTGCATGGCACCACCTTCCTACGGACAAACAGTTAACCGGAAAATAATGTATGGAGATTTGAACATTTTTCCAAAAATATCGATTTTAGAAGCGAAAACAGAAAAAAAAACGAACCCGTTGAATTTGAATAACACCTCAACAAATATTCTGATTCGTAAGGAAAGGTAAATAAATATAGAAACCATCTATGGTAGAAACATACCATTTTGTGTAAAAATTCAAAGACAAATAAACAGTGGGTTGTGCTTAGTAGGCCCAAAATTAGATCTAAATGCTACATATCGATGAATCAAGGTTCTGAATCCTTGGTGGCATGCACGGGTTTTATAACTGTACTTTTTGAAACTAACTGGCTGTCTCAAATCGTTTTATTTTCTTCTGTTCCTAGGAGATGGAAAGGGAGGAGTGAAATGTAAAACTACCATTTCAAAGCCCGTGCAGTCCGCTATTACCGAGCGATGAAAGCTAAATAGAAAGTATAATGCTGTAATGTTAATTACACACAGAAACTTTTATGTTACATATCGAGGCCAACATTTCATTAGGGCGAATCAGCTTTTGTAAACAATTACTTCAATCCTTGGTTTTTCACATATAAAAACTCCTTCCTGCAAACCAACTAGTTTCCAAATGTATATGTCAATTACCTATTTTCCTTGACTCTATTGTGTGGATTATGGAGAAGGAGAACTCAATAATCATGGGGACTGTAATGTAATGTATGACAATGTTGTGGAACTATTTATTTGAAACAACTTTGCTCAAGAAATGAATTTTCTATCTCTAACGGTGCTCGTTTTATACTGGTTTTAATAAGTAACATAGGGCGAACTCTTTTATTTGAATAGTTATTAACAATTTTATTATTAACAAAACATTTATTCAATTAACAGTATTAATTGCACACCTTTGACCGTATCCAGTGTGACTCGTTGATCTAGTTCCAGAAGGAAGCATGGACTTTGAAACCTATGTCAGCATTGCTCGTTTATGTTTATTGACTTTCATGTTATAATTATACTTTTCAGCCACTAGGATCTTGATCGTGTGATAATGGCAAAGAAAATTTGAGCTGAATCCGCAGTTATTAGAGTTTTAAAAACATTCGATTCGCATCATACTACATTTTCATGGGTTTTGCCCCATACGATTCCCTTCTACTTGTAGCTCATACAGGTCACCTAGTTGGAGACATGGTTGAAACAAAATATCTGATTGAATCTTAGTTTTAAACGAATTTTAACAACTGATTATCACACTGTTCATTTCACAGGAGATTTTGAAACTTCTCATGTGGACATTATGGTCCATTAGGCATGGATTCATTGGGATTAGATTATAAACTATCGAGAAACCATTTATTTAACTCTGAAGAAACTGGCATCTTGCGGTTAGTTCCGAAGCAAATTTTGATTAGGGCGAAACTAGCTAAATGCAAACGAATTGAGAAAAACCGAGCAAGTTTGCATGTATTAATTTAATTTTTAATTGAAGGTTAAGCACTATTTTTTCCAATTGAATTTAATGGATTATCTTAAAATTGATACATTTTTATTTGTGTTGAGTTTAAAATCCCTTTTTGATTCATTTTCTCTTGAAAACGCGTTGTAGCCGGCATAAAGTCGGCTAGCCAAAATCGGTCTACTAGGGTGTTCCGTAGATTGATTTTTAAACAAATGGCTTGAGCGTCACCTCAATAGAGGACCACTTGTCGTTTCGGATGCCCGGTAAACTCAAAACCCCAGGACGAGTTCAGTCTAACGCAAAGGATTGGAACGCGCTAGTAGACATTAAGTGCTTTAGATTCAAAAGAAAACACTAAATCCAACCGAATGAAAACTAATCAGAAACCGTCTTTCTACCGGAGCGAACCTGTTCTCATCACAGGTCAAGCTCTTTCCCAAACACAAAATCTACACGCTTCAGGACAGAAATGGTGGACTGAGATTCTAAAGCAGTCCAACTTGGAGTAAAACCAGCTACCTTCTAACTCCGGCCGAAGTTAGGTCCTTCAATGCCAACGCGTGGGGTCAGGATAGTGGCAATAACGATGGGGCGCGGTATGCCGAGCGGGAGGTGGGACGAAACTATTGACAAAAAGCCGTCAAACGGCTGTTCAACTGGATGAGCGCATTGTTGCAAAACTGCATAGCAAATGATTTATCTTTTTGTTGAAACTTAAATCGCGCACTGTACCGCACTAGACTACTAAAACAATTCAATAGTAACTCATCAAAAGAAATTAACGAACAATTAATTACACTGAACTTAAAAACACTTCTCACATTTTAAATACCTCTACATACATTTTAAATAGTCTGTTTGTAGACTAACGATCTTATCAAATGCGATCTCCCATTACCTTCCGATTCGATCAGAGATACTATCTCTTTTTCTCCCAAGTATCCCACCTCTATCTAGCTCATTCCAATCTTTAGCTTGAAGTGTTTTTCTTATTATTAAATTTCCGACAACAAGTAATCCTAATGGTAGATTATACTCGATCCCACTGATCAAATTTCATGAAACCTCAAATAAGAAAACTTACGCGCCTAGTGAGCAGCGAATTAACAATTTAATGGATGAAATTTCAAGCAGGGATAATTTACTCTTGAGATGAGTTCACCAGTTACATACAAGTGAATTGGGATAAAGCGTGTCGTTTCGAATAGTAACATTGAACATTTGTAGCATTTGAACTTCATGCTACATTAATTTAATATCTAATCAGAATACCGCTACATTGTCATTTTTATAATTTCACCCGTTAATGCGGAACGTCTAGAATACGCCTTCATTAAATCGCCCGGACATGTATGACAACAACAATTCGCTCAATACTATGCGCCTTGTTTTGATTTCCTTAAAATAAGTGTCGCCCTTCACTTTTAGACCAACAATTGAAATAGGCGGAACAACCAAACGTAAACAATGGCTTTAAGCGCAAATTTCTCAAAAATCTGAATACGTCCACGCAATCTAACACCAGCATCTGAAAGAGGACACTTCCTTTATCGAATGGCTTCGTTAATTTGCGTGGGTGTATTCTGAATCTAGAGAAATTTGCGTTTAAAGCCATTGTTTACGTTTGGTTGTTCCGCCTATTTCAATTGTTGGTCTAGACTTTTCGCCGTGTTTACGTTTCAACTAAAGATGAGCCTTTTACTATTTTCGCTTTTGTTGGTAAACAATATTGATTTCGCCCGTCCATTGAAATGTTTTAAAATTGCGCCTTGTACTATCGTAAACAAAGGAAAGATCGTTTCGCCTTTCGCTTTGCACGGATTTTTCGATAGTGTAACATTAAAAACATGTTTGTGGGTATTTGTTTGTTTGCCTGCTCCGCATGATTGCTGTAAAATCTCCGTTTCTTTGCATTTTGCTAGTTTCGCCCTAATCACAATTTACTCCGGAGTTATGTCCTGTGTTAACCTTTCATAAGGCACAATTTTCGCACAGACCATTTAAAAAATCATATTGTTTTAATTTATTGTAAACGGTAGATTCTATTGTTCGATGTAACTTAACAATATAAAATAGATGCCGTGTGTAAAGCTGTAATTTCATAATACATTCAATATAAAAAAAAAACAATCTACAATCATTTTCTAGGATTCTGATCTAGAGGAAAACGGATCATAAAAATGCATGCTTGGTGTAATTCATGTTCACCTTCTGGATAGCTAAAAAGTCGATATTTTGTCATACAATTTCGTATGCAGGATTTAAATTCGTACTCCTTACATTTTAAATAAATTTATTTTTGATTTTATCAATTGAAAATCATTGAACCGTATAGCAAACAACAACATACACATCACTAGCAATCGAAGCAATAAAACTACCACAAAATATTACACCCAACCCTTTTTTACGAGGGTCCATTTTTACAATTTTCTTTTTTTCTGTGGTGAAGTTATAAAACGTCTGTAGGTACCATAATTTTTTTAAACTTTTTTCTTTTCTTTTTTGAGACCAGTTACATCAACCATGATTTTATTTGAACATCAAAAAAAACAAAACCGCGTAAAAAGGATTCGGTGCATTAATTTCAGGGCTGGTATGCAGGCAATAAAATATAAACGACGATTAATAATGCATTTTATCGAGAAAAAAAATATGTTTTTCATAATGATGTAGGGGAATTTACGTATTCTCGGCAACCTAAGCAGCGACCTTCTTTCTATAGGCTTCTTCTCTAAGGAACGCACACATATACAGTATTGGTTTGTTTACAATATTTTGCTGCCAGCTGCTCTAATAATTTCAGTCGAAAGAATTGTCAAAAACTGTTTTGAAACGCTTTTACAAAGCTCCAATCTTCTCTAGTGAGAGCGAGTATTGTCGGCAACCAGTTTTTCTTCCGCAACCGTTCCATTTGAGCTGCATGTAAATCTGCTGTTCTATTATCGGCAACTCGAAATCAGCTACAATTTGTAGTGCGTGTGTTTCATTTCAAGAAAACCTTGCTAGATTGCTTTTTCTCAGTGGTAAAAATATAGTCAAATTGAAGCTGAAAGCATAAAGAATCGTTTGCATGCATTCAGCGAAGTGTTTTCGTAAGAAAATCCAGTGAAAATAGTGTTTCAATTTGGGTTGCCGAAAATAGTCTGGCATGCCGAAGCCGTCATTTCCCCTACATAATGCAATTGGGTTGTTAGCGGAATGCTCAAGATGTTGATAAGTCTTTACTGGGAATGCCACTGATGAAGACTGCACATTGTAGTCGAAATACGTATCTTTCGTAGATACCAAATTAATTAAGTGGAATTGAATGGAAGATAACCTTTTTTGCTGTTTAATGTTTTTGATAACATACACGACCGAAATAAAAATTCTTCGAATTTAGCTGAACTTTAATCCGCTAAACCCTATCTAATACCTTTGACAGACATGATTGTAGTACCGTTGTACTCCTCTACTGCAGTACCGCAATCTACGTACTTGATTTCCGTTGTACTACAATCATGTCTGTCGATGGTATAAAGAACTGCCGGTTTACCTCCGTGTTATCAAATCCATCGTGAAACCACTCACCTTTCGTTGTGCACGTGAGCGAACTGAGCTCCTTTCCCAAAAAGTGCAGTACTGATTATGCAATTCAATGCACCGCCGCTAACTCCCACACTCTTTCCATTCCTTTGCCAGATTCGCTAGCAGCAGGGGAGGTTGTGGGTGGTCGTATGTTTACCTTTATACGTCACTCACCATCACTCCCCGGTTGCACAGCTGCTGAGTGAACAGAAGAAGATGGAACCTTCTCCACTCCTTCACGTCGCAGTATTGGTGAGGCCGATTAGGTAATATTATTTGACTTATGTTTTTGGTCAATGATGGTCGCTGGCCTGGCGATTGGTGCGATGTGCTGTAGCCTAGCCAGATAGATGAATGTTCTACAGCTGCTTACTGCTCTGACTGTACGGCCAGCGAACTGAGATGTACTTCTGGTTGATGCACCACCCTGCTTACTTATTTCCTACCATACACACACTCACCGCAACGCCACAACACACTGACTGCCCACGGATCAACAAATCAATGACGACGGCCGAACAGCCGCAGGGCAGTGCATATTTATAAATATTTTTGGGGATCTATTCTCCGCGGTTTGCTCCACTTTTCCTACAGCTCTCCTTCTTGTTCCACTTTCGGGAACCTTAGACGACCTATCTGGGATGCATTACTCGCAGATTTACTGAATCGATTTTCTGAGCTTGCTCACTACCGTTCACAGCGGAGATGTTCTATCGATCCGATCCGACGTGGATTTTATCAGACACGGCACTTTGGGCTACCGAACAAAACCCCACTAACTCCATTCACCGCCGACGCTAGATTTAATCTTTATCACATGATGGCCAACATTTTGGTCGTCAAACCTCAACCCAAGCTTTGACACTTTCAACAGCTAAGGGCTGGCTGCTGCTGTCGAATGCACTCACGAAACGACACCCTTCTAGCTCACGACTGAAACACTTTTTGCGTCATAGATAATACGAACTACTCGGCATGTAGCTCGCATATCGATCAATGTTTTTGTTGTTTAATTCTTTAGCGATGATTAGTACACTGCGGCTCGGTTAGCAGGGCTTCCAGCGGATCAATACACTACTATAATCGATATGCTGAAACACACGAATAAGGAGGAAAACAATCAAACGACGACCGACCGACCACAGAACCGCACGACAGTCCGTCCACTATACTCATCGATCGCCCGAGTGCACTGGCTCATGGCTGCTGCGGTGGGTGATTTCGGTGTGTGGGTGGATGAGTGACTGGGGAGCACTCAGTAGTAGGTGTATATGGTCGTATTCAGCACTGCTGGCGATGTTGCATCTGGATGAAGGTCAAATCCACTGCATGAACCATTAGATGAAACGTTTCTAATTTTTGTGAGCTACTTTTACTGCGTTGACAGTTGTGAGGATTTTGGTTTTTCGCCATAAGAAATGAGAGAGTGTTGTGCGTTCTAAACCAATCTTGACATTTTTACTGTCCACTGTACCAAAATTGATGAAATGTTGGAGGTCAATTCCACTTTTTAATGCAGATAACGAATGCATCTACCTGTTGGTTGTTCCGCCTTGGTTCTTCCTTCGCAAATTTTGTGAGAGTGGCATTACGCCCGGAGATTTTTTTTTTGTCTTCTTTTTGTTCGTTGTTTAGCCGTGAAATATCAATCGGATGCTTATCAAATTAATCGGGCTTGATTAAATACTACAGAAACAGTACGTTTTGCATATTAACACAATATGTTTCGTAGTTCTGGAGCTAGGCGAAACAATCAGATGCATCATAGAGTGGAAAATTGGAAACACACCATTTAAAAGGAACCGTTTTCAATGATGTTTTCTTCTATTTTTTCGTGTTTATTGAGTAGTTTGTGAACTGTTAACAATTGAAATAGGCGAAACAACCAAACATAAGCAAGGGCTTTAATCTTTAAACACAACATTCTCGAGAATCAAAACACTCCCACGCAAACTAACAGTGCCATTCGATAAAGGAAGCTTACTCAGATGATGGTTTTAGATTTCATGGATGTGTTTTGATTCTTGAGGAATTTGCGCTTAAAGTCATTGTTTACGTTTGGTTGTTCCACCTATTTCAATTGTTGGACTAGTGTTCTCTCTATGTGGCAAAATATGGTTTGTTTACAGTTTGACTCTTCCGTGCCTTTCAAATGTTAGTTTAGATTTCTACCGGCGTATCACCAGCGTTGGCAGTGCAAAGGGTGGAAGATCCGGGGCTAACAACATGTAAGAAATTATCAGGGCGTATGATGTTTTCTTCTCAATTTCACGGCCAAAAAACTCTCTTGTTTTAGTTTTATTGATGCATGATGTTAGATTACATTATTAACTGTACTGCCTACAATCTTATATCAGTCCCATATAGAAAAAGATGGCATTGAGAAAATGGCAGTCGAAGTTACGAATGAAAAATCATAGTAAATTGATTAATATTTGTTTTAAGTTAAAATCTCGGTTAAAATTAAATGCATTGAAGCATGCATGTTGATTTATCAGCGAAAAATATGGCAACTAAAAAATCAGAACTGTAGCTGAACTGATATGCGATTACTTTGCTTGATGGTACAGGCTGACTTGATGTTGTTATCATATTGTTCATGATCAAAGTCCGTAGTTTTATCACATCATACGAAAGTAGATGCCAATTGATAGTGGATTGTGTTGTTATCTCAAAACTGATGGAAATCCATATAGGACTTATATGCGATTAGGCAGTATATGTCAAGCTAATAATATGGTTATTTTGGAACATCACCATTTCAAATATTAGTCTGGAATTTCTAAGTGTGTACGTCATTTGTGTTGACCCTTACTGAAAATGTTCGAGCACCCCTCGGTCGGAAATGAAACAAAACATAATACGAAGATCACCAGCAAAAGCACGAGTTTGGCAGCAAATTTTTCACAATCCTGCAACATTCACACATTATTCACAGAACTACTAATAATTTCGTCGCATTGGACAGAATTCATTATTCACATAAATTCCAACACTTTCAAAAGATCAAAGAGAAACGCGATGGAAAATACAGAACATTTTTCTAACGCACCGACCAGCGACGGACCGAAAACGAAACTGAACTGAACCGAACGAACAAACGCACAAGCAGGGATGCCAGGTGTATTTTGAAAAAATCTTCATCAAGATGGACGAAATGTCTTCACCACTACTTTCAAATTTGTAGAGGGGGGTTGCTCAGATTTATAAAATTGAATCCTGTATAGATCAGTGCACGGTCCCTAACCTCACTTTTTGCTCCCTATCATTTTGCTTCTGAGTAAAAGAGATACCAACGAATGGGAGCCAAAACAAACCACCCAAAACTGTCAAAACTTACGGATGAGAGAAGAGTGCGGCAAATCTTCGTGAACTGATCAATTGAATCTTTATTGGCGTTGACGGCACCGCCGAAAAATTGTCTCTTATAGAAAAGATTGACAGTTTCTTATGGGATTTTTTGGTGGAGTGAAAGGATAGTACGAAATCCGCCATGTTTCACGCACAGTCTGACGTTTGCTTATGGATTTTACCATAGGAGTAAAGAGCTACCAGAGCTACAGAGTCGCCGTCAACGCCAATGTCGCCAATAGAAGCTCCGGGAAGTTAAGAGAATTTGATTACAGGGACCTTTAAGCTGGGTTTAGATTAGGCAAGTCAACCCGTAAAAAAAAGAACGATATAGATACAATGAAATGTATTGTAACAATACAATAGAATTTATTTTACTTAAAATAAATTTTATCGTCCACAACTATAAAATAACCATAGAATTTATTGTTTGCACAATATAATCTATGGTAAATGGGGAAATCTACAATAGAACAAGGGGGTTGTTATGTATCTTAACCGTACAAAAAATCACTTTTTTCCGAACAAACTCAAGCCATTTCCCATTCATTTTATTGTTTTTCTATTGTTGAAAACTCATACTATGTGGGACGTATTGTACATCTAATGTAATAACAATATGTTAAAATTTCTTGTCCAATATACGCACAATAAGATCGAGTGTTGGCAATAGATTTAGATGTAATTGTATTTTATTTTATGGTAATTGTATGGTTATTTTTTTCCGGGAAATGATCAACTCAGTTGAATTCAATTGACTTGAAAAGTTGAGCCTGGTTCAACTTTTTTCAATTCAAGTGAGTTTATCAAGTCAGTTGAATGGCACGGTTTACACGTTCAATTCGCGTTCAAGTCAGTTGAATTCAACTGAATTGATCAATTGACTTGCCCTGTCTAAACCCAGCTTAAGAGAATAAGAGAGTCAGTATGAGAGTATGAATAATTGTTAACATAATGAACTGTTGATTCATAGAGGTAACATAGGTGTTGACTTCACCAAAAATTCCCATAAGATACTGTAAGTTTTAGCTATAAGAAACAATTTTTCAACGGTGCCATCAACGCCGATTACTACAGGAACTTCGTACACGAAATGAAAATTAATTATTTTATTCATGTGCTTCACTTATACATTTTTGCCACAACATCATAAGCCTGATTCCATAAGACCTCATAGGTCCTATAGGAATGTATAAACGGTATGTGCACAGACAAACAGACATAACACATCAAATATTTCTCAATGTAAAACATCGTCGCTAAAACATTACCGCCATCTGTTGAGTACACTGTGGTGGGTAGTACGTTGAACAGATGGCGGTAGTGTGTAAACGTCAAACGCAAGGGAATTGACTATGCGCGCCACAGGTGGCGGTACTACCAACTATGATACTTTTGAATTGACCGTTAAATGCTTGTTCGATGAACAACTTGCGAGTGTTATGTCTGTTTGTCTGTGGTATGTGTGTCCATTTTATTTAACACATGATCTTCATTAACTTTTTTCAAGACGTCTGCTTATTAGTTGACTTATAAATACATTTTATGAATAATCAGCAATATAAATTTGCCATAAGGTATAAGGGAATTTCTATTCGTATAGTAGTAGTTCGAGCAAATTCGTAAAAGTTCAGGGAACCATGGAATAACTTCAAGAAACTTCGTTGATCTTTAGGAAATTTCGTAGAAGTTCAGGAAACTGCGTAGAAGTTTACGAAATATTCTAGATGTGCACCGAATTTTGTAGAAGTTCAGCTTACTGTATGAAAGCTCGACGAAGTTCGAAGGGTAGAAATTCAACGAATTGAGTAAAAGCTCAGCAAAATATGTAAATGTTTAGTGATCTTTGTTGAATTATATTGAACTTTGTATAAATTGAGTGAAAGCTCCGTAAAAAGTCTAGGAACTTCGAAGGTCTTCATAGAACTTCGTACAAAATCAGTAAATTTTGTAAAAAATAAGGACACTCCGTAAAAGTTAATCCAATATTGTTTAATTCAAGAGAACTTCATAGATATTCGGCAACCTTCTTTAATATCAGGCCACTTCGTTGAAGTTTGAAGTACCTGGAATAGATCAGCTAATTACGTGCAAGCTCAGGAATTTTTTTGGAACTTCACAAATAATCAACGAGAAACGTATATGTGCAGTAAACTGTGTATAAGTTAAGCGAATTATGTAGCAGTTCGATGAACTGCGTAAAATTTCATAGAACTACAGCGAATTTTGAAAAGTCCAGGAAGATCAAACAATTTCGTCCAGAAAATCTCTTAGAACTTCACACACTTAGATTTTTTGCCAAGATGGGCACCACCGAGAGACTCGGCATTTTATTTTGCTGGATCTTAGTGAAAAACAAAAATGACCGAACATGGAAACCGTAATTAAGTGTTTGGGAGAAACTCAGAGTAGAAGTTGAGGAATTGTTTCCTGAACTTATGAAATTGTGAAGATGTTTGGGGAACGTTGTACAATGATATTCTCTCAGATATTCTACATTGATGGGAGGTATTTTAAGAAGTATTCAAATGATCTCCAGATAGACGAACATTTCACTGAAGTTCTTTGCATATTTTTTCAAGACTTTCAATCGATCAATTATTATTCTTTCTTAACTCTTCTGTTCAAAAACAAAAATGACATCTCTCAGGTATTAATCCAAGACGGCATGTTTATCAGGAAGTTTATAGGCCTGTAGCCTGGCCTGGTTAATTATTCTAAAAAACTTAAACCATAAATTATAATGTCATCTCTGAGATATTCTCCCATAATAGTAGGTTTATCAAAAGATGTCCTACCTGGTGTCCAACTAATCGAAGATTTATTTTAGTCTTATAGATATTTCGTGAAGACATTATTGTCATTATTCATAATCAACATCAAGTTTGAAGTCAAAGTCTGTATTTCTATAGGAAAAACTGTCCATAAACGAAGAAACGGATATTATACCACCCAAGTAAAATCGTCAAAAACAGCATAACTTGGTAGGTATGATCTGTACGAGGATCTGTCTCCATGACCAGGTGGTAAAAGATTGCTTAAAATGACAGATAAATTAAGAATTCTCGATGAACATTTCAAATGATCCTATCAGCTTTGATCGATTCTCTTCATCGACTTTCTCTTTCGTCAATAACTCAACTGCAAAACCTTTCCCTGTTGTATTTGACGTTTTGGACGCTAGATAAGAACCTCCTTTATCAAACTATGTGGTAGAATTAACGCGAAATCTGTTTGCATAGCAGTGGTTATGAAAAGAGAAAGTCGATGAAGAGAATCGATCAAAGCAGATAGGACCATTTGAAATGTTCATCGAGAATTATTGTCTAATATCTACTTTTTGGGAACATATTTTTTTTAAACTTTAATCACAACGACATGGCTTCTCATATCACTTCCATCGATTGTATCCAGCATTTTACGAGCGCTTATGGTCGCCACAATCTGACTGAGTTTTTGGTAGGGGACATATGATTTGACGTTTGGCTTGTGTCGTTTGACGTGTAAGCGTTCAAATTTGAACGTTTACACGTCAAACGACACAAGCCAAACTTCAAATCTTATGTTCCCTACCAAAAACTCAGCGAGATTGTGGCGGCCATAAGCGATAGTAAAATACTGGATAGGCTCTTTTTAAGCACTCTCAATCTCACCCTCAATGTAGAGTGCGCTAGGCGATTTTGAGAGGAAGTGTCATCCAAACCGTTTGTTTACATCACAATGACGATTTTCAAAATTCTAAATAATTTATATTTTATTGCACTACCGAGGTCTTATTTTTCGATGATCTACAGATCTGAACTGATTTACAGCTCAAATAACAACATATTACAAATCCTGAAGATCACGAGAAGATCATAACCGCTGAGACAATTTTATAAATCTTAATTTTGATCATCAAAAATATATGGAAGCACCACCGCTGCAAAATCAATACAGAAAACAAAATATTCCACTTGGATGGCGATTTCAAGCACCTGCGGTAGATAAATGAATCAGGAAAGGTGAAAATATTTTCTCTTCATATGCTTCACGGTGTAAATTTCAGCCCTCAGCTCTTTTTTTAGGGTTCCCTTGTTCACCACCAGACGCTGAAATGATCGCTTAGTTTATATTGGATTCGCTTATAGCTTTATATGCAATATATTCGTGATTCGATTGATTTATCGCTTACAACATTTGAACTCCTTTTTGCTCCGAGTTTTGTTTTTGAAATATAAGACAATTATCTTCATTTATGGGCGGTAAACTTGTCTGCTCAAAATACAAAAAGCTTTCCTAAGTTCTATTTATTTGTTGGCATGAAAAGGCAACAGCTTAATAAAACTAGCTAAAATTCCAGCTAACAGGTTGTTACTCAATTTTGCTGAATATTCAGTAAACATTAATGATTTTTCAGTTATGTTTTGTTAAGTTGACGTAAGACCAAATTGCTGGTCATCCATCAACTATATTTTGATGGAAGGATTGCTGAAATTTTGCTGGTTTCCAGCAGTAGAAAATGAGTGTGCAGAATTTAAAATAATATCTTCAAAATGAAGACAAAATTCTCTTAATCTGGCATCCCTCCCTGCGCACAAAGCACAAACGCTCCATCCTCGGCTCCATCAGGCAATTCAGAGTTGCCAGTATTCCAGATTTATCTGGATTTTCCAGATTTTTAGGCGTCTTGCCAGATACACAGACAGACCACGTATATTTCCAGATTTTTTAAATATGTTGCAGATTTTCTCAGATTTTTTAAACATGTTGCTTTAAAAATAGCACTGCAATTGATTTACCATCTAATCAAAAAATAAAAAGCAAAACTTGCTACTCAACGTCTAACGTTGGACATTACATAATTAAGGTAATTTTGAAAATAGTTCACAGTGAAGTGTAAGGTGAATTCCTTGTGAAATCAAACGAGAATTTCAAGCTAATTCTGAGTACAGTTCCATCCATCTTTGTGAGCTTCGTGTTCGTGTGACTTCACCCTTCGTTCAGGCGTATTGTGAGTGCCACGAAGTGAGGGTTCGATTACCGCTCCAACCGGTGCAAATTTTGACTTCCTGAAAATTTCCCTACTGGTCTACTGGGTGTGGTGTGTTGTCCGTTGTCTAGTGTTAAATATACAGTCTGGTTGAAGACGGTGTCAATTGTCTTATCAACTCTGATGACAATTGCATGGAGATTTTGTGAATAAAGGAAATACAATCCGGAAATTCTTATGATGAAACTTAAGGAGTATGCTGATACAAATCGTTAGAATAATTTCAATGGAATTCTGTTCTATGAAGATTAATTTTAATACATTTCAACGGAATTATGCGCAATTTCTGGGAAACATTCAAAACCATTTTGGCAAACTACTTGAATAATACTCAAAACAATTTTTACCTACCACGCAGTTCAAAGAAAATTATCGGATAAGTCTGAGAAGAGTGTGACGGTCATTCTGAAGAGTATACCAAGGAAATTATTTTGAAATTATTTTTCAGAATTTCATAGAGAAAAATTGACACAAAATTGTGCTAATTCTTGGGAATTATTACCAGTTTGAGGGAATTGTGGAATTGGAGAGTGATTTATAAGAGATTACAAGAGGTAATGCTAAGAACTCTTAGAATGTTACTGTAAAAGTTTGGATACTATCAAGATTATTTTAGGGGAATATAGAAAAGAGGTATGATGGAATTCTAGGATGATTCAAATGGAACTAAAAAAAGGGCGAAAATATCCTGTGAAGAGTACTCGTTCCAAGTAAAATCAGACTAACAAAAAATTTCATTATCTGGGACCCAGAAAAATATAAATTCCGGAATATAGAATCATTTCAAGATCCTGAGACTTCCAAAATGAAGCTATAAGACTTTTATTTTAGTAATATAATAAAATTATTCTTTGGCATAAAACTATTCGTAATGGTCATGCGTAGTTATCCGTAGTTTAAGTAAACTGTGTGTGAGTACCACGATGTTAGACTTTGATTCCCACTTCAGCCAGGTGAATTTTGCTTCAAAATAAAATTGCCTACTGGTCTACTGGGTGTTGTGTGTTGTATGATGTCAAGAAATAAATTGTAAATCTGATCAACCTCATGGTAATATTAGAATTATTTAGAACTTTTAAAATCTTTAAATGCTGTTATTGAATGAAATAGTAAGGAATACATCGATTATTATTAGTTAAAACAAATCCATCGCATCAAATTTGCTTGATTCTTTGCTTCTCATTCTTTTTAAAAAAAATACAGTTAAAAAAACAATTAACCACTTTATTCGAGCACTTAAAATGACGTTTACTACCACTTGAACTTTGAAATTAAACATTATTTTGAGATTTTTTCTTCTAAACCACGAGAAAAGTAGCCATCATTTGTGCGTTTCATAAAATAATAGATATTAGTTGGTCCAGTTTTGTGGAATCGCTGGTAGAAAGTCACGCCAAAACTGCTTGACAAAGTGGTCAATTCTTAACATATTTTCTGCAGTATTTTACCCACATTTGACTAATACCCCATTCACATTACAGCCTATATCACGTAATATAGGCTGTCTTGCAATGAGCACTCATACATAGGATTTCCAGTGAAAACTAGATGTATGAGTGCTCATTGCAAGACAGCGTATATCACGTGATATACGCTGTAATGTGAACGGGGTATAAATTTTTGAAATGCTGCGTAATGGATATTGAAACTTTTTGGGCACACTGTGTCAATACTTTTCAACTTTTTGATGCGTTCAGCAATGCTAACAAGTTATTTGCTTTATATAATTTATTTAAACATGTAATTCATAACCATTCTAGTACTTAAAATAAATTCCAGGTGATCATACTGACCGATTCTTACAAGAGATTGGCACATAACTTTGATTTCAATAGCATTATGTTAAACGGAATTTTTTGAAGCATTCCAGATTTTTCCAGATTTTATATTTTAACTGTTCCAGATTTTTCTGAAAATGACCTGGCAACGCTAGTGTGAAGAGGTGTGAAGAGCAAAACACTTAATATGTAGAGCTGGGCGATATTAGTCTCTCACACTCACACGTTCCCAGTCTCTGCCTCACAATTTTCCCGGAAAGTGACATTTTGCCTTTTGTGCTTTCTCCGTGATTTATTTATTTACATTTGCTGTGGCGTTAAACTTTCATGTTTCGTATCAATCTGTGCGTTGTGGTTCGGAAAAAGTGGAAGTGGAAGCAACTGATGCGTGTTGGATCGGGGGCTGGAAGGAAAGAGGAACGTCATTTTTTTTATCACTTTCATTCAATCGTTGTCCACAGCTAGAAACAGGAGAAAAGCGCAGAGACACATCATTCGTCATCGCCCTCAATTCTCCCCGTACGAAGTTGGCAATTGGCAATTATAATTAATAATCGGGAGCTCCGATACGGTAAGTTATTTGCCTCCGCTGGAGTGAATTGAAGGAAAGACTCCGTGTCGAAAAAAAAAGGGGGCGTCAACTGGTGAGGTAAGTGTTGGACCTTTTCATTGTGCCATTATTTGATTAGGTTTATTTTGCTTCAGTGATGTCCAATCCGTTCGAGGATCTGGACGACCACCCGGGTTCCGGTGGTTCCACCGGTGCTGGCAGTGCGTTTCTACTCGGTCCTTCGGATGACTCGGAAATTTTGGAAGGATTCCTATGTCCAATATGCAAGGCGGACTTGAAGACACCGGAACGGTTGACGGCTCACGTCGAGCAGCAGCATTCCGAGGAGCAGGATCTGCTGAAATCGTTAAAGGAGATGTTCAGCTTTGCGAAGAAGAAAATCCTAAATCTGGACGAAACGGCCAACGATTTGGCAAGGAGTTTGGACAGTTCTCTGTTGGTGGTGAGCAAGCAGGATCGAGTGCCGATTGTGAATCCGATTTACTCCTCGGACCAGTCGGTGGGTACGGATTGTGATTATTTGGGTTATTTCAAAGCGGTTAGGAATCCCCGTTTGGAGAGGTACGCCTCCGAGACGAATAAGCTAATTATTAGACTGGATAAGCTGTTGGATGGACTGCCGAGTGATCCGGACGCGCGGAAGAAACACGAACAGAGCAAGGTGCCGTGGATCGATGGGAAGCTGGTTAAGTTGTGTCCGAGCTGTGCGAAGAGCTTTGGATTGACACGAAGGCAGCACCATTGCCGGGTTTGTGGATCGGTTATGTGCGATGGGTGTTCGTTTCATTTGTCTTTTGATGAGGCAAGGGCCATCGTCCAACCGGTGAGTCCCGGAATGGAGTCGATGAAACCGGTTCCTCCACCGGAAGAATCGGGGAAGGATCATGACTCGTCCGGTTTCCGAGTATGCGAGCACTGTCTCCACCTGCTGATGAACCGCAAAGAGATGCAAGACTCCCGTTCGGATCGACCGCTTATTACGAAGCTGTACGACAAACTGCTCCATGAAAAGAAGGACATCGATCCAGACATTCCCATGTATTCCAAGATCATCAACAGTCTGTACGAAGGCGATGCCATCTACCGTCTGTCGGATGCCAGTGCTCTGCGGGAGAAGATAGGGCGTTCGGCGGAGAGGATCGATAACATTAGCAAGACCATTCTGGCCATCCCATTCGCTCAGGGAAGTCGCGAAGAGGCGCTGAAGAAAACGATCCGTTTGTCGTGCATTTCATTCATCAAGGAACGCATGCTTTCGATTCCTCCGCTCCCGGTGGAGGAAGAGATTAAAAAGATTCAGCTTCGCAAGAAGCAGGAAACCGCCCGGAGGATCGAGAGGGAACGGAGACTGGCACTGGAAGCGTACGAAAAGTACGAACTACAATCGGAAACGACGCCCTACAATGGGAGTTCGAGTTCCAGCACGGCTTCCACGGCGGAGATGACCAACGGGAGGTTCTACGGTCCGACACCGGTGACCGGGTCGGACAACTGGAGTGGCTACCAGGCTGCGGGGGTGGCCGTCTCAAGCAGCGCGGATCCGTTGATCGATCAGATCAACATCGTCAAGGGGTACATCAAGCAAGCGAGGGAAGCGCTGAGATTCGAAGAGGTCGAAACGCTGGAGCGAAATTTGAGCGAACTGACGCACGAGTTCTACGAGAGGCAAAGAAGAGCGGCTGCTGCCTCGGTGGTGGCTTCAGCAGCGCAATCTAGTGGGCATCATTAATGGTATGGAGAAAATTGGACGAGCGAACGCAGGAGATAGTCTTTCAGCTTTGCGGCTTTAGAATTATGAATGGTGTTATCCTGGAACTAGATAACCGAAAAAGAAAATCGATTGAATAGGTTTAATTGTGATTTGACCCACAAGGGGTTTCTCGACTAGAAATGAAACTAAATACATGTATTATTCTGATAGTCAAATGATGAATGCTTTCCGTGTATTTTGCTTTAAGACCTAAGAAGTCGTCTTCCAGAATATTTTCCCTGAATTTTCTGAAGGTAAGAAAAAGTGTACTTTCAGGCTCACTGTAGTAGAAAATCGTGTTTTGTTACCCCTTGTGATTCAAATCAAAGACAAAGATTTCCAGATCGAAAAACAAACCTGCTTAGCTAGTAAGGCTGCAGTTTAATTTATTGTTATCCAACTTATTCCTACGTGTTATCATAGTAATAACTATAATTATATATTATCAATTCAAGACATCCAACGAAAAATATACCTAAATGTATTTCAAATACAATAAACTTTGAGTGGTTTTGATTCCATGTCCTTGAGTAGATTTTGGAAGATTCACAATTTAATTTTAAAAAAACTAACAAATAATGAGTCAAAATACTACCACCTACCCTCGACAAGCGAAAATTTTCCTGTCATGCCCTAAACGTAAGATTCGGAAGAGTAAAGGCATATTCAGCATTAAGCCAATGTGCGTCTGCAAGTTCATTTTGTACCAACGCTAATTACTTCAGTCCGTGCTGCTCGACCAGCTTGGCGACCTTCTCGATGTAGGCCTTCTTCGCATCGTCCTGGGATGTTCCCTTGTGCCCGTTCCAGGCCTCCCACTTGGCCTTGCCCTTGAAGTCGAGCAGACCTGGCTTGTCGGTGTTGCAATCGCCGACGGTAGCTTGCTTGTACAGACCGTAGACTTCCAGCAGGTCCACATCGGACGGCGTGACCTTCAGGTTCTTTACGTCCTCCGCAGCTTGTTCGAAAGTCTGTTTGGAGGCAAACCAAAAAACAACGTAGTTAATTAACATTAATGAACGATGGCAAAAAAAAACATTAACATCAATTTGGGAAGTGAACGAAGCTTCAAGTGGAAAAGAACACAGCGATGGAGATGACCTCACTCATGTTCCCCTCCCCTCTTTAAGCTCTTTAAATGAGACATAACCTCTTTTTTAATTGATTGAATTTTTCTCAAGGACGAAATAGGTCTTCAGCTTTTTTTATGATCAACAACGGGAAAATTACTTACCGACATATTGCACGAAATTCGTTTGATTTATATGACAGCTTTACAATCAGGAAAAAAATCCAATCAGATTTAGGATATTGCAATGCAATGCGGTTGACGGCGACTGACGACAAAACAGCGATACACGTCTTTTACGAAGAGAAGATGATGCGCTTTTGAGGCTTTTGAGTATTTGAGATTTCCATTCGGTCGATTCAAAGCCGGTGGCGGCGGTTGTCAGCTTCGGCGGTGCTCGGCTGTTATCCATCATCGTCATCGTCATGTATGTACGGATATCGGGCAGCCCTACCGGGATTTTATTCAAATTCGCACTCGGCTCCAGGGATGCCAGATTTGAAGACATGTTATCACTCAAAAAACATTCAAGTAGGGGAAATGGCTCTAATGTTGGCCTATATGGGTTTAACATTGGGCCCATCGCTAAAAATCTACTATTTATAAATTTAATCTAGATTAACGCTTCATTGGGACGGTACAAATCAGTGCTAACATTTGAAAACGGCACAAAAGCCATTTGTAAACAAATGGTTTGTGGGCCCTTTACTCACTACTTGAAGTACACCCACGCGACACAACAGCAACATCGGGTAGGGGAAATTTTCCCCTTCCATTTGTTTGCGCCGTTTTCAAATGTTAGCACTGAAATGGTTTGCAGCACCCTCTCAGATGTCAATGAAACTTTGTAAGTGTATAGATTTCGTCTACTTAAGCAACTTTGCATACTTAATTTATTTTAAAAAAAAAACTAGACCAACATTTGGAAAGGGCAGAACTTTTTTGTCATCATTTTATTCAAAAAACTATAACTCAATAATGTCAAGTCCTACAAAAATGTTGCCAGAGGATGATTTGTAGAAAAATAAATGAGCTTTTGTAAGAAAATATAAAAAAAATTAAAGTCTTTTTTCTACACTGAAAAAAATAATTTTTAAAACTTAAAAATTAGATTTCTCAAAAACACATTTTTTTTTTAAATCTGAAACTTTTTTTAAAGAAAGACATACCATTTATCTACAACTCGTTGATACATCCCAAGATGGGCACTTTTAAAGGAAAAAAGTTATTCAACAAAAACTTTTTTGTGTTTGCACTGAATATAATCTATGATTTTTTTTCGGGGTGGGAACGACAAATTTAAAAAAATTTGAAAGACGTGTTTCACGTCTACCACTAAATAAGATTGAGTTAAACTCCAAATGAAAAATTAAATGATCTTTTATAAAGCCTTTGAATATTAAGGAAGGGTCAACTAGTTTCGGAGGTATGGACGGAACATATTATGGTGAATATCGGTGTCGATATATCAAATCCGAGGGGGACGAAACTCCTAGATTTATTCAAGTTTTATGAAAAGATAATCTTTATATCTATTATATCATCTCTGAATAAATCCACTTTATCCGATAAAAAATAAATACAAAAAATAATGTAAGATACATTCCATTATTTGCAAAAATCTGTATATTTTTCAAAAATCTTTTTTGATATCTGTATCAAAATATTGAAAAAAATCTGTATGATTACAGATAAATCTGTACATGTGGCATCAGGGGAACTTCACTGTAAAAAAAATGTGGGTGAGTTTGATGGAACTATTGATAATCATATTTATTCCCGCACAAATTTTAGAAAATATTGAAACGCAGCAGCTGTTGCTGGCTAGTTATGAGCAAATTGAGGCTCGATTAAAGGCCCAAACGCAATGTGGGCGGAAGCGTAACGGAAACGGAAAGTTTGACAGTTGTCACAAATGACATCAAGATGCCTAACCGAAGTCGATTTGGTTATAGCTAGTTTTCAATCCGACAAGTAGGCTTACTCAGATCGGGCTTTTTCGCTGCCGCTGCCGTTTCCCCGAATAGAAATTGTAATGTAGGAAACATCAGCAGACATCTTCAATACATTAAATTTTAACGTATATTGCTGTACCCTTAATGTATTCAGACTTCAGTGTGACGTCCAAGTACATAAAAATACATTAGCCTCAAACGTTACATCAGAATCAAACGTCTTGACGATGTAAAATTTGACATCAGAATACATCCAACGACAACAGAACCTAACGTTACATTAGAATCAAACTTCATCACGATGTAATTTGTTGCACGCATAAAACATCAGAATACATCCAATACATACAATCGTCAAGCTCGCTGTAACGTCACCTAGTGCCTCGTCATCCACGAATTGGCGCCTATATCAGTGGTCTAATAACTCTTAGCGTGCTAATGGCATAGTTCCCCTGCCGCATAGAGAGTTGCCGCAATGATATTAGGTTAGCTAAGGTCAGTTAACTGACTGGTGGGGAACGGGAGCTTTAGCATTGACTATTATGTATGCATTTCTATGACGCTATCTAACAACAATGGTGTTTACTGTTTACAAAATCATGTATGTAATTCAAATGTGTTGCATAATTGAAAGTATTTGTGTCCCGCCCATTGTACCCTTCCACCTTTAGCGACTTTCTGGATATTGGGTTCGCCATAAAGTTACGCCAGTTCGTGGTTCATTCTTCTCCTCCATACACCATTTTCATATACCCTGCCAAAGATGGTCCTAATCACGCGTCGTTCGAAAACTCCCAGTGCTCCTCGAGTATTGTCCATTGTCATATTTTTCATGTACAATAATTTTGTTTATTATATATTTGCAGTTCGTCAATAAGGTAGAAGACTGGTACCCCAAAACTTTCCGCATTTGTAGATCATCCCGATCCACTTCCAAAGTGTCATGCATTATTGACAAATTGGCACAGCGGGTCGATTTAAAGGGAGATCTGGAGGCGCAGCGATCTTATTGTCATGATTGTCTGGTAGTTCACTCAAAAATGCTATAACAATCGCCAAGCTCGCTGTAATGTCACCAAGTGCCTCGTCACCTACAAATTGGCGCCTATGTCAGTGGTCTAATAACTCTTAGCGCGCTAATGGCATAGTTCCCCTGCCGCATAGAGAGTTGCCACAATGACATTAGGTTAGCTAAGGTCAGTTAACTGACTGGTGGGAAACGGGAGCTTCAGCATTGACTGTTATGTACGCATTTTTATGATGTTATCTAACAACAATGGTGTGTAGTGTTTACACGAATATGTTTCTAATTCTAATGTGTTGTAAATATAATTGAAAGCATTTGAAAAGTAAGATTCTAGTGTTTGTACTTCTTAAAACATAAGTAAACATCTACATTTTAAAACATTCAAACAACGTTTACTTTAAACGTTTTGTACATCTGAAAACATCAGAGAACAACAAACAGGAAGTACAATTGAAAACATCCGAACAACGTTTAGTTCTAACGTTGTGTACATCCGAAAACATCAAAAAAACGTTTGGTTTTAGCATCGGGAAACATCTACATAAGAAAACATTAGAATACATTTACATATAAAAACATCCGAACAACGTTTAGTTCTAACCTGGGAGGGAGAAGCAAATACTACACACAAAATCCAATAAATCAATCACAATATTGCGCAAGAAAATTCTTGGCAAATAAAAATTATCAAGTAATTTGTTCCCATAATGAGGGGTTTCGGTTTTTCGTGTCTCTGTTGGAATTATTTTTTAATTTCGGAACAGCAGGAATTATCCTGGATTGGGTTTTTTGCTTTCACAAGATCCCAATGGATTAAGTTCTGTCGGATGGATTCCGGAACTGGCGAAATTAAACCAAGCTCGCGAGTCTGTAGCGTAAGTGTTGACGGTACAAGTGTTTTGCATTTTATCAATGTTGCTATGATCTTTTTTAATTAATGGCAGGCCCATTTTTTAGAGGACTGCTTCCGCGTCGATAAAAATGGGAAGAAAACGAAAAAAAAAAGATGCCGTTCCGTCGATTGAAGCTTTCTTGCTACCTCCTGAAGACGAACCGGAAGAGAGTGATCGGTTGTTGGACTTTTATAAATCCCGTCCCGTTGATAGCCGAAGTATGTTAAGTTGATTTGAGCTGAAATTTTGTTGTTACCAACTGTTATGAAATGATGAAAAAATGTGTGAATATTTTAAGCATTTCTTTTATTTACCAATAACAATACATCACATTAACAAACAATCCCATAGAGATGGTCAGATATAGACATTTGAATACCCGAACGAAACCCGTACCCAATTCATAAAAAAATCAAGAACCCGAACTTGACCTGACCCCTGTAATTAATGGAATTCATTTAATTACGGCTACTTCCTGTGCATGAGTTGAAGTTTTTGCGTGCCCCTCGATGCTACCCGTACCCAAATATAGCCCTTACTCGATCCGAACTCAAAAATATTTTCTTCGTATACTTGTACTCGACACGAACCCGAAAATTTAGAGTAACCGTACCTGAATATCTCTACAACCCCCTCCATTTTGAGAAAACTATCAAATTTACGATATAACATGATTGATGCACTACAATTTAGCTAAATTACATACCGATTCCTGAACTGAAGAAACGAAAATTTTGCAGTGCAAATTGTTTTCAAGCAAGAGAATATTTTGTATTCGATATCAATACTTCCCATTGATTGATGTTTTCTACTGCTGGCTCCTACTGACAGTTTGTGACAGCTCATTTCTGGCTTCACTTGACATTCACGTATTCCGAGTATGTTTCTCCCTCCCAGGTTCTAACGTAATGTACATCAGAAAACATCCTTAAAACGTTTGGTTCTAATGTCAAGAGATTGAAATTTTTGACGTCAGACCGACATTAGAATGGCAAAATTTTGTTCCAAAATTTCTGATGTATACACCATGTTACGTTGCTTAAATACAACTAAATCATAATGTTTTCTAATGTTTGACATCAGGCATACATTTGATTTCGATGCTGATGTAGACATCAAAATCAAACGTTGGGCTAATGTAAATTTCTATTCGGGTCACTTCCGATGTCATTGCGCTCGAAACGATACTAACGATTTTAAATTGGCTCACTACTTGACTAGCCTATTGGTCCCAAGCAAATCGATTACGTACTCCATTCTAGTCAAAATTCTAGTACTACACAATGCTTGTTTTGATTCGCTATGAAATTTTGACAAGTAAAATGAGGGGTTAGTGGATTTTCCTATCTTTCGATGGGTGAATCGATTAGCTTGGGACCGAACATAGTACCAGAGCTGAGCCAAAAAGTTGAGCCCGTTTCTTCGGGACCTACTGGTCTTAAGGCCCACGCACATTAGATCCGGATCGGACGCGTTGCGGCAAAGTGACAGCTAAATCTATTGTCTAACTGTCAAATTTACGTCAACGCAACGCAAACGCATCTAATGTGGGTGGCCCTTTAGAGTTACTTCTATGCTTGGGCCTAAAGAAAGTAACAGCAGTCAAACCGTAATACACACTACAAAATACTATGAGCGAACAGTTACATAATTATGATTCATTCAAGATTATCGATAATAAGAGGATGAAATCAGATGATATCGGCAAGCGCGTGTTATTATTCATTACACATCGAAATTATTAAAATAAATCGAAATTTTGTTTTAAATTTTATTGAAATCCGTTCAGTGAAATGGAAGAATGGATTACTTTCATCCTCCTCGCGTCCACGTAGTTTAGTCACGATTCAGTATCTTGTGACAGTTACAAAATTCTGAATATGGTGAGAATCAGGGAGGTGAGGTATTCAGCACTTCTTGTCACATCCTGGGTCCCACCCCACCCACCAAGTTAAAAAGTGGCGGTGAAGACATTTGAAGATATTTTTTTCAATCTTGTTGAAGACTTTTCTAAAACCATCTGGCATCCCTGCTCGACTCGTTTTTCGGTTCCATTTTCCGCTATTCCGCTTTGATTTCGTTCCAATTCCAATCAGCGTTGCCAGATATACCGATTTATCGGTATTTATACCGATTTCCGAACTAGAGTCTTTTTAATGCACCTCCAACGTAGAGGGCAACAGTCGAGTTCGAGAGGTAACGTCAACCAAACCGTTTGTTTGCATCAGAAGATGGATTTTTCACAACGCAAATTAAAGCATTTTTCATTAAACATCTTGCGAATTTCCATCAGTAATTGTCTTATTTTACGATTTTCCACACATCTGAACTGATTTGCACCTAAACTATCCACACACAAGAAATCCGGAAGATCATAACCACTAAGGCACTATTGGAATTTTGCATTTTTCTCAACAAAAATATTCCTGAACACTAGCAGAATCCTTGCAAAAATAATACACAATTAAATTTTTCAACTATAGATCAAGGTTTCGAGCATCTCAGATGAATTAATTTATCAGGAAAAGTGAAAAAGTGTTCTACTTCCAATGTCTCACGGCAAAAAATTCTGCTCACAACACTCTTTTTGACGTTCTCATATTCACCACCAGGGGTTGAATCGATCGCTTAGTTTCTATTTAAAATGCGTATACAGATAAGGTTCCTCAGAATACCGATAAAAATGATTATTGTCTGCCCGCGCTCAGAATTTCGGAGAAAATGATTGTGTGAAACTTGTATCTTTTTGAATATCTCAAATTTTTTGGATACTCTTTCGATTAATGTTTCAATTTCCCCACCGTTTTTGGCTACCCATGTACAGTCGATGGCTCTTTCTGGTAATTCCGGGGGAATCGGGAAATACGTTTACTTTCCTGGATTTTCTTATAACTTGCCCCTGGAATTTTCTATTTACGATTCCTCTCGGAAACTTATTTCGACTTCCCTTGGAAGCTTCCCGGAACTTCAGGGATGCTTCTAGATTTTTATTGCATATCCACACTAGCTTCAGGAACTTTTAAAAAGTTCTGAAACTTCAGAAAAGTCCAGACTTTTGAGTAAGTTTCGATAAATTAAAGAATGTTTTAATAACTTCTGTTAAAATTCTAAAACCCGGTCCAGCGAACTCCAGTGAGCTTAAGGAAACATCATAAATATTTTGGATACTTCACAAGTCCAAAGAACTTCTGGAAAATTTAATGGTTTTCAGACAGTTCCATTAGTTTCAGGAGAATTGAGAGAACTTTAGGAAGCTCCGAGTTCGGCTCCGAGAACATCAGGACAATCAGATCAGATCAATAAATATCAAGGAAATCGCTGAAATTTTAAGGCAACTTCCGAAAACTTCAGCAATGTTCCGAAGGGCTCATGCAAATTTAAGAAACGCAAGGGAAGTTACACGAACATTAGCACATTGTGAGAACATTTTATGGGAAGTTCTGTGCTTATTAATGGCAGTGTCGATAACTTTTAAAAATTATAAATATCGGGAATAAATGCTGATGTTACAATAAAGAGAGAGCGCTTAAGAAATTTCGAAAAGTTCAAGAAAGTCTAGAGACCTTCAAAGTTGATTAGAGATATTCCGGTAGTCTCAATCAGGGAAGTTCCAAGTATTTCAAAAATGATCAGAGTACTCCAAAACAGCCCGAGGAAATATGGAATATTTAAGTACATTTCAGGAACGTTCCAAAAACTTCAGGGGCATTGCGGGCGAGATTGCGGGGTCCTCAGAGATGTTTTATGACAATTTGGAAAATTTTCTGGATCATTAGAACATCTCCCAAGATCTCTGTCTTCCGGAATTATGTCGACTGTTCCGTTAGCGCTCTGGCTTCCGACTTCCTTCAGAATTAGGAACCTTAGGAAGTTTCTGCCAGCGTGTCTCCAGGAAGTTTCTTCCGTCTTCTCCAGGAAGATCAATTAAACTTCTCCCAGAAATTTCTATCGTCTAGTTCTGGAATTTTGTCCAGTTGGTTTTTGTTTTTACTTCTATTGGAAGATTTTTCTGAGCTTCTTCTGGCTTTCCCTGGAAATGGCTGCTTCTGGAATTTATTTCCGATTTCCGAAAATTTTCTGCCTTCCTTTGAATGTGAAATCCGATTTTTTCCTGAAAGTTTCTTTAAATTTTCGCCAGAAGTTTCTCTGTTTATGTCTTGGAAGTTCCGCGGATGTTTTTCCGACTTCTCTCAGAACTTTCCTCAAATTTCCTCCAGGAGAGCTTATTTCTTCTTTCTGTGGCTCTTGTTTTCAGCTTCCTCCAGAAGCTAATTCAAACATTCCCCGGAGTTTTCTTCCGGAATGTTCCGATCATAGTCCAAAAGTTAAAATTTTCACTTTCAAAAACGGCAAAAATATAAAATTAATTAAAATAGTAAATGCCGATAAATACCGATTTTTTAAAACCTTTGATACCGATAAGCTTTAAAACATGCTGGCAACGCTTTCCAATCCAATGTCAGTTTTTTTTCGGTGTCGGTTCGGTTTGGTGTGTTTGTTTTTCGGGTCTTGCGTCGCGATTTTCGGCCATTGCAAAGTGCTTAATTTTCGAAAATAGTGTTTTTTATTTAGATGAAGTTGTGATAATTGCAATAATTAATGTAAATTGAGTGAATGTTGCATAATTGTGAAAAATAGGCTGCTAAAAACGTGCAATTTCTCAGGTGGTAAGTGGCTTCCATTTTCTTTTCTTTGAGCCAGGCAGTGATGCCAACATTCCAAATTTTTGAGAATAGTTCTAGATAGAGCTGGAATTAGGGCGGAACAGCTTTTGTAAACAATGACTTCTCTCGATGATTTCTCGAAAGACATGACTCTCCCTGGCAAATCAACATTAACATCGAATAGGGGATCCCTAATAAATAAATACCATGAACGAACTGTATCCCGGATGGGTAAACTATCCCACAAATGGTTTGGATAATACCCCGAACACGTCGTTAAGCTCTCTTTTATGGCTATTTTTATTAGGGATCTCAGTGGTTAACGCGTTCTTCGGGGGATAGCTGTAGTTCTTCATAGCAAAATATTTTGAACTATTTTCGTCGGTGCTATTATTACCAGTACAGAATGATTCAAATAGTGAAATTGATATCTGGAAATGAAATATCATGTGCCAAAATTTCAAATGGAATAATTGCTTTCGTAAATATTGGCTTTAGCCGACGATTTCTCGCAAATAAAAGCTTACCCCTCCAAATTAATGTTCCTCTACCTATTGGAGTCATTGAGTGAGCTTTTATTTGTGGGAAATCGACGGCTAAAGCTATTGTTTACAAATGTAATTACGCCCCTTTGACATGTTGTCACTTGGTCAAAGTTAACCTAACTGATGTTGAGTACTTGTTACAAAACAGTACAAGATTAATGATGTAGCTCTCCTGTTTTTCACCAATATTATTTGAAATTATCGGGGTTTCTATGCGAGCTTCAATGCCTTCGTCATCTTATCTTGTGAATTGATTTAAATAAATTGAAGTAAGATTTAAGCTTATGATTTTGTGTAGTTTATTTAGAGATCCAGTTATATATTTCTCCAGAAACCGCTTCCTTGGCCTTAAGAAAAGTTTTTCAACTGATAGGTTATCGTCACGAGTAAATATACTAATAACAAAAAAGCTGGTTCTTAAGCAGGGCAATTTTGCTAAATAAAATTCACCGAGTTTTCCAAACCTGTTATGGAAAATGTCTATGTTCATAAGATAGCTGTTTTCTAATGCCGCAGCATTTCAAAGAAGATTAGTAAGCTCACAAAATGGGGGGCGTTCAGTTTCATTAGTTTCCGAAAATAAGCGAGAAATTTTAAGAAGTTTCCTGATTTTCAGAGAACTTCAAAGATGTTAAGTCTAAAACCAATCATTTATGTGGTGTGCCATCGAACGACTACTTTTCCTTTCTTATGTAACTTGTTTGATAGTTGTCACTATTTGGTAACTTATTTCTTCAACAAGGTCACTAATTTTGACAGCATTGATCGTAACCGCTTTGAAACTTTACGTGCACAAATATCAGCTTCTCCGACACGTACCACAATTAGTTTGTTACTTCACGTTTGCTGTACTTCAGCATACATGACGTAGCAATTTCAGGTGAAATGGTGTAATTGAAAATTTGTGTAATTGAAAATTCGAAGTGGACGTGCATGCGTAGCCTACGTGGAACAAATAATTGCCTACACAGATAAATCATCCCTATAATAGCTCTTAACTTTATTTACATACAAACAAATGCAACTCACCCTTAGTTATAACCCCTGTAACAAAAACTTAACCATATATTCAAATTGTCAACTTAACAAAACAACAGTTGTTATTGTAGTACGGAAGCGGCGAAGATCTGTTTCAATATCTGAGGCAACTGTTCGAGGTTCATGCACACGAAGCTCTTGCCGGCCGTCATGTGTTCCGCAATTCTAAAAAACAAACAAAAACAATCATCAACATCTACCCCAACAAACCTCAACCACCATCGAACTCACAATTGCGCCTCATCACCCAAGCTGCCGATGAAGATCACGTACGCCTGCACCTTCGGGGCCTGCTTCTGGAGCAGGTCGTTGAAATTTCTCGGCGATATGCCATATCGCGACATGTTGGCATCGCTCAGCACCACCACGATCGCCTCGTCGCAGTCCTCCTTGGCCAGGGCATCGACCGCATTTCGCGTAGCCGGCAGCGTGTGATCGCCGCTCCAGCAGAACTGCGAATGCGCATGCATCATCTTGATCGTCTCCAGCCGTCGCTTGTCGTCCTTCGGTGGATTGTTCACGTTGATGAACGGAATCTCCACCGCTTCTCCACTGTGCCCCACGATGTCGTACTTGATTTTCGTCTCGAATCCATCGAATGCTTCCATCACCATTACGACCGCTTCCAGCTGACGATCCAGTCGGCCGTCGTACCCGTTGAAGCGGTACATCGATCCGGACACGTCCACCACCAGCTTTAAGCGTTTCGGCTTCTCTTGCGGTTGTCCCGGTTCCGGATCCTGTTCGACCCGCTTCTTGTAGATGTTCTTCTCACCCGTAATTCCTTCCACTAGCTTGGTATCGTCCATCTCGCCGGAAGTCTGATGCTTCTGCCAATGTCGTTCCTTGCTCTTTGCCTGCAGTGCCTGCAGTGTCACCCTCAACTGCTGTACCTGCTTCTGCACCGGGCCCTTGAACTCCATGTAGACTTTATGGTCGTACTTGCTCATCTGAATCTCCTTCAACTTTTCTTCGAACGCCTTTCGGTTCATCTCCTTAGCTGCCATTTTCACATGTTCCGGAATGTCGTCCTTCTCCGCATCGGACAGCTGATGGACCTTATGCCCGGCATCCAATCGATACGGACCACCTTTGCCACCCAAACCAGCTGTGTCGCGTCCTCCGGTACCTCCAGCCCAAGTATTGCCGCCTACGTGGGGATCATTGTTCGGATCAACCTTGCCGTGCTTCGGTGCTGAAACGCCCTTTCCGCTGTGACTTTTGATCGTCATTTGGATTTCCCGTTGCTTACGCAGTGCAGCAAGCTCATTCTTTGCGTACGGAGCGATCGCCAATCCATGCTTGAGTAGTACGTTCGTCACCTGATCCAGTGTCTCCGGAGTGTGTCGGTCGTAGTCGAGGACGTTGCCGATCAGTTCGGCCATATCGTCGTTGGGGAACAGCTGCAAATGCTTCACGATGTTGACCACTTCACGGGTGGAGTACGGATAGTTTAAAATTCCACTGTCGGCCATGTCTCGCAGTTCGGAAAAGGCGTCCACCAGTTGGCGGATGGTCGCTTCCGGAACATCCGGACCGTACTGCTTGAGGAGGTAGATTTCCGAGTTCGGAGACGGGTTATCGACGGCGTGGCAGGAAAATAGATCACCGAGAGCGGCGAAGAAGTCATTTCCGAGGAAGGGAAATCCAGGTCGGTTGGCGAGGACAACCATCCGGAAGTCAGGGTGGGTATAGATCAGCTTGTCGTTGGCTGCAAGGGTACCTCTGGCGGGTGGGCAGATCTTGCGCCCATCAGAAAGCATCATCTCCCCATTTTCAACGAGAGTTTTCAGAATGCAGGTAACGTGAATGGGTGCCTTATCTGCTTCGTCAATTACGAGCACGTGGCCGTTCTTGACGGCTTTCACCAGTGGGGAGTCTTCGTAGATGATCTTACCGTCCCGGATACTGGCCTGAAGGGTAAGCGATTGAACGGTCGTGTCTCGATGCAGTTGGATGTACTCTCGGGGACGATTCATGAGCTGCAGTAGACGATCGGCGATTTTGTTTTTACCGACGCCTTGGTTGCCCACCAGAAGCAGGTGTTCACCGAGAGTGAAGTCCTGTAGAAGTCGTTCCATGAGTTTGACGTGTTGTGGGACGTTGTAGAACACGATGTCTGGGACTTTGCTGACGGCTTCCGTTTGGTAGATTGGTACTTTGGTGTTCCCGATGCGGAGGACACCGTCGTCGGTCGAAATGGTGACATCTTCAGCGCGGCTTTCCGTTCCCGGTGTCACATGACAGGTTCGCAGAGCGTTCTCCAGTACGCTTCTGGGTACGTTTGGCATGAATTTTGTGAGGAATGTGTTGTGCAGTATGCTGTGGGCAGAACGATCGGATAAATGTTCGCCGTATTCGTGAAGTCGACGAGCAATCCGCAGAAGTTGTCGGGTTGAAAGGTTGCTCGCCAAGTTCTGCATGGTGGTGTCACCAGATGCGCGTAGGTGGTGAGCTACACTTAGAATCTGGTGCATCGTTTCATCCAGTGGTCCGTACAGCGAGTTGACGACGTTGAGTTCTTCGTCTTTGCTAAGGCCTCGGATCTCGTGGAACAGGAAGAGGTTCAACGTCTCAGCGGTAATCCAATTGGTGCCGATTTTTTGGTGAGGTTCTGCCATGGCAATGATTCGGAATGCTGGATCAATTCGCAGGAATCCTCGTGCCGTAAGGTCGTCTTTCATCAGTCCTGCTTCGAGAAGACGATCGTAGCGATCATGACGCATCAAGCGCCTACCGTCGTACAGTTGCATCTCCCGATCGTGAACCAGTCGATGTAGGATCGCTAGGGTACTGTGGTGCAGTCGATGGATGCCATCGAGAGCGATGACGTGACCGCTTAGAGCCGCCAGCAGCAAGGGCGAGTCCTGCCAGATTGTGTCTCCGTTGAGCTTGGTTGTACGTTTCTGGATTAGGTCACGGGCTGTCATGTCCTGGTAGAGGACCATCGTTTCGGCCTGTTGATTCAGCAGGCGGCATAGTTCGTTTGCCAGGATGGATTTTCCACAGCCTTTGGAACCGATCAGGCAGATGTCGCCCACCGCAATTGATTGGATGAGGTCCGCTAGGAGGTTTTGCTGGTAGTTGGTCTTCTTGTAGCTGGTAGGTAGGTTTTCGACGTCGGATTTGCCTCGTCGCATGGTAAAACTGATCGGTTTGGTGTTGACCTTCAAGTTGACCGTAAGGGCATTTTCACTCAGAGGCTCAACACTGGTAATTTCCGTGGAGGGCGTTTGATTCGGGGTAATCTTTAGCGAGTCCATTAGGGACTTGGTAAGGCCAACGCCTTCCTTTTCCAAAAACACCGGGTAGGGGTAGAGCCGGCTCAGTAGACTGTGTTCCGTGAGCAGAGGGTTATTGTTGATCAGCATTCCGGCGTAGCGAAGGTTATCGATTGGAAAGTCCGGCAAGGTGGATGCCGAAGAAAGGACACTGAAGCCGAACGAGGTTAGCTTCGTGAGGACTTCGGGGTTTTTGTTGCTCGCCAAAGTTTTGCATTCCGTGAGGATGTCCTGCAATTGAAGGATGTTTCAATATTTGTAAAAAGAAATATTTTAGTATCTTACCAAGTAAGGCAGATCACTGATGTCCCTTGCTTGAAATCTGGATCTCAAAGGTGGATCAAGTGGTGATCCTCGATACTTCGGTACTGGCAATCCCAATGCTATCACACGGAAGTCCTCGGAAACTCGTACCAGACCCCACTTGTCTAGCTGTTCCTTGTTGAATCTCTAAGGCGAACACGGTGAATCAAGATTTCTTCATAGAAAGTACCCCATCTACTCACCTCCAGCAAGCTGTCGTAATTTTTGGCGGAAATCAGAAACCGCCCGTCCTCCAGGTGCATCTCTCTGTTTTCCAACAGATTATTCAAAATGGGTAACACATTCCGTTCGGTCTTCTCCACTCCTTCGATGACCAGAATTCGTCCTTCGGTAGCTGCTCGAACCGCGCTTTGGTTGTAGTACGTTGCCGTACCGTCCATAATCTCCCGGCGCTGTTTTAAGTCACTCTCGGTCGTGTCGCGGTTCAACAGAATGTACTCCACTTCCCTCCGTGTCAGTTCCGAGTACTGCATAATCAGATTCCTGCGCAGATTACCCGGTCTACCGAGCAAGATCATGTCCTGTCCTAGGTTGTCCTTCTGCAGCATCCACCGTAGGTGGTGCAGTCGAGTCTGCGAAAGCTGAGCTTCACCGGACTCTGCCACTTTCACTAGAAGTAAACTATACAGTTGAATCGGTCAGTTCGGAACATGGTCCAGACTTACCATATCCATTGGGAACCAGTTCCGGTTGTTTCGGTGGTTGAATCTCCTTTTCCACGTCGTCGATCCGGATGGTAGCTCCCGTGGAACTGTAGCGGAACCATAGCGCGGGAGAACTACCGCTACTGCTGCTATTACCGTTTGTGAGAATCCGCTTCAGTACGTTCAACCTACGTACGGTTTGGGCGTTCCGTGGGAGCATTTCCGCAGAAAACCGATCGAGTGGTGCGGACAAGATGTGTTAGCTAATCACTATCAGTTATGTTATGTCGTTCCCGATCGGGTCAAAGTCCAGCTGGATAAGTGTTGCGAGATGGGCAAGGATTTTTAGTAAAGGGTGCAACTGATTTTCGAATGATTTTTAATTGTGCTCTACGATGACTTCCCCCGCGTGTTACGCCCTTTGCGGTTCAACTCGAGAGTGGATGTTTCGTTTCTGTTTTGAGTCGGTTCGGTGCGTTCAACAGCTTGCGACAGCTGATTTTGACAGTTCGGAGTTTGCGGTTCTGTTTTGATTGCCGTTGCTTCTGTTGGTGTGAGTGGTGAATATTTGCGGAGTATACGTGCCACAGGGAAGGAAAGTGTGGAGGATTGTAAACATAAACAGTTTGATATCGATGAGAGCTACACGGTGGGCGTTGGAAAGTGACCGACACGGAAAAGTTGGGTACACGTTTCTAGTTTTCCAGAATGCTTTGTTTATTGCAAAAAAATGCAATGCATATCTAAAAAGTACGCTATATTTTACATGCGTTAGGTAAAACATCAACAACAGCAATTAACGCAAACGATTTTAGGACATGACAATCAAATTTAAAGAAAACTGCTTTCCAGTCAAACCCATGAAAAATGGTGAATTTTAACACTTAATTAATTTTCTTAAGTCTAAGATCTCAAAATATTCAATGTGGAAGTTGACATTCTGAAAATATGGGGAACTTACTGGGAGTTTGAAGAACCTCAAAGCTGTTCTATTAGCTGCAAATTGCAGGAACTTTTAAGAAGTTCCTAGAATTTCTGCGAATTTCACCGGTATCAAGAAAACATCAGCAATATAGAGAACTTGAGGAAAATTGTGGATTTTTTTAAAAGTTATAAGTATCTCCGAGAAGCTCTATGGGACAGTTTCGGTAACTTAAGGCCAGACTTTAGGAGTAGTTTAAAGATCTATAAGCGTGAGCTTAGAAACATTCAGGATAGTTCCATGATGTGATGACAAAAAATCGAGAACTGTTAAAATGTTCCGACAAATTTCAGGGAAGTACAGAGAATTTATTAAAACTTTAGAAATATTTCAGGAACTTCGCAGAAGTCCTGAGGGGGGCGACTCTATCTAAGATGCAGGAAATTTGTTGCTTTGCTGTTGTGAGATGCACTCGCGCTTAATAGATAAAAACACGATTGATTATGATTTTGAAGATTTCCTGCAAAAAGGTGCAGAGCAATGCGAGTAGATGGGTTCAGATGAAAAATGATTTTTCGTAGATTGATTCGCTAGTGTGAGATTTTTCGACAATTTAAAATCGAGATTTAGATGTGTCGCACCCCTCGAGAAGTCCAGATAATTCCTGGGAAGTTTAAAGGTGTTAACGAGAACTCCATTTTATTTCCGATCAGAACCGAGATCTTCAATAGAATTGAGAGCTTCAGGGAAGCTCCGACAACATCAAGACTGATCAGAGTGTGCATCAGCCGCACAAAATGGAAAACACTTTTGAGATTTTGTCTTCCGATGAACGATAGACTCTGACATAGTAGATGAGAGTGAGTCTCCGGAGGTACACGACCCCGATAAAAAGAAGCCGAGGATCAAGATATAATCACTTCATTACAATGGAACTGTCGTATTTAGTTTAATATCTAAACGTTCAAATTCTGATAGTGCTATATTTGCACTTCGTGAAACATGGCTTTCTTCTGAACATGAACTAAACCTCCACAATTTTAACATTATCCGCCTGGACCGAGATGATTCATATGGCGGCGTCAAAAAGTGCTACCCCTTCTATAAAATCTCAATCCCAACAAATTCAGGCACTGAAATTGTCGCTTGTCAAATAAATGTGAAGAACAAAGATCTTTGCATAGCTTCTGTATATGTCCCTTCAAGGACTTCCATAAACCGCCGCCAGCTTTGGAGTTCAGTTAATATCATTCCATCTCCCGTTCTAATACTGGGCGATATGAACTCACACGGTACTGGCTGGGGCGAACCATACGATGACAATAGAGCGGGTATTTTCTATGATTTGTGCGACGATTTCAATTTGACTACTACTGCTCGGGAGAGTCGTCTTGATATATCTTTATGCTATAACTCACTATCATGAGATTGTCTGTGGAAGGTAATCAATGATCCCCATGGTAGTATTTCAATCAAATGTGGTCGTAAAAAATCAGACCAGCCAATTCAAGTTCCTTAGACCGCACGAGGGATATTGATTAGAAAAAAATTGCATCGGCGGTAACTCTTGACTACCGATCCTCTGCTACCATTGGACGAGTATCGTTTCTTTACCGAACTGATCTACAAAAGCGCATTAGAAGCTCAGAAACGACGTGTTCTAAGTGCATCCTTCAGAATAAGACCCGCCACCCCTGGATGGGATCACGAATGTACAAATTTGTATCTTGAGAAATCCGATGCCTTTAAAGATTATCGTAGACATGAAAGATCTGAGCTTTTTTGAAAAGTCTATATGTACTTCCAACCATTCGTTCCAGCAGAAAATGACCGCCTTCCACCTGTATCGCTGAGTGGAAGAGTCAGCATTCGATGAAAGGAAAGGTTAAGGAATTACAGTACATCTTCGAAACAGCGAGACTCAACGGATACAAGGAGACCACAATCCAGGCAATCATTGATAAAAAAGCGAGAATTCTACAAAGGAGATTATTTACAACCCTCACCGCAGCACCTGAACCTTGAAAACGAGTGTCCGTTCCATTTGATCGTAATATCTAAGCTAAGACCACAGTTAAAACAATTCGGATTAGATTTAGTTTTCACCAGTAGACACAACCAGTTGAAATCATTGTTAGGATCCCAGTTAATGTTTAAGGTAAAGCAGGTGTACATAAAATAAGCTGTAATCATTGTAACAAAGTATACGTAGGACAAACCAAGAGAACTTTAGCAACTAGATTTAAAGAACATATAGCGGAAGTTAATAAGGCCAAAACGCAAGAAGATAAAGGCCTAACATATGATTTCAAATCAAAGGTTGCAGAACACATTTTCACAGAGGACCACCAACTATCGACGGAGGACATCACGATCTTACGAACCGTATCTACACCATGGAAATTGGATGTTGCAGAGAGCCTCGAGATCAACAAACAACGGAATTCAACTTTTCTCAACAGGGATCAAGGAAACGGGCACACATGGCTTTTCAAGTTACTCACCCCTATTCTGTATTTCGTTTCGAACGAAATTCTCATACAAAAAAATATTTTTTTGTATGAGAACTTCGTTCGAAACGAAATGCAGAATAGGGGTGACTAGCTAGGACACATCAACGAATAAGCAGCTGAGTACCTGCTGCTACGGGAAATAAAAATTTAAGTTTACCTAGCTTCTAAGTGATAATGTACCTGTGTTAATATATATTCGGTAAATGTGATGTTTTTCCTCAGTCGAGTATTAGTACAAGATACTGAAGAAGTCTGCACATTGTAGACGAAATACGCGTATCTGTCAAGGATAAGCAAATAAGGTAGTGGAATTAAATGGAAATTACTAATCCTGCTCCCTCTGTTTATACAAAAATTACGGATTTTTGGCTCCGCAAAGTATCACACACGACTGAGCCGAGTAAATAAACGAACTAGTTAAAAAAAATACTGATCAGAGAATCAAAGAGCAATTTCAATATTTTACAGTACATTGCAGAAACCTTACCTTGCTTAACCTTACCTTTCGAGAAACTCAGCGAATTTTCGGAAACTTCAGCAGAGCTCCGAGAGAATTGCTGGAACGTAATAAAAATAATATGAACACCCGGAAAATGTGAGAGTATGTTAAGAGTGTTGTATCACATTACTTAAAAAAAAGCTAAATTGATAAGAGAACATCAACGAATCATTAATCATTGATTAAAAACTTTCAGCAAGCACCGAAATCTATAAAAAGAACTTCTATGAAATTTAGATATTTTTAGGTAGTTTCATGATATTCTGCGAAGTTCCGAGTACTTCGAGGCCGATCAGAACAATCTAATTAACTTACAAGGAGTTCCGTCGAATTAGAGCATATGAGAGTTTTATGATCGATCCGAAAACTTCGGAAGCGTCAGGGAATTATGAAAATCAATCAGAAAATTTAACGGACCGTTAAAAAAACTTTAGTTAAGCATAGGAAACTCAAGGGATGTCCAGGAAAATTAGTGATTTAAATCAAAGTCCCGTGAGCGTTTATAAAGTTTATAAAACTTAAGGAAAATTGTAGAAACTTCAAGGCAATTAAATTAACTTGAGTAAAATTGCGAGTTCTTATAAAAACATACTGAGAACTTTAAGGAAACTCAGAATCATTTTGGGCAGTTTGAATAACATCCGGGAAGACCATTGAAGAAGTTACGAATTAGTGTAGTGGTTAATTGCACTTAGCTTTGTCTCCTTTCATTGTTTCATCTCCTTTTGGTTCATCGTTGATAATTACATTTCATCTCTTTCACTTCTCAATTAATTTCACCATTACTTCTTCTATCTTTTCTTGATCATCTTCGTTTTTCCGTAGCCTTCGTTCGTTTCTTGTTTTCGTTCTGCACTGCTGCATCCAATTCCGGTTCCGCTTCGCTTCTTCTGGATTCTCTTAATCTTTTTCTCGTGTCATTCTTTTACATTTCGTTATTTTTCGCTTTATATTCTTGATCTTCTTCCTCTTCTTCAGCGTCATTTTTCGTTCCACCTTCATCTGATACTTCGCATCATCCAAAATCTTCTCTTCATCTTCTGCTTCTTCTTCTTCTACTTCAATGCACAATTCACGTTGTTTCATCCGCTATCCGCTTTGTGTATGACCGTATCAATTTTCTCCAGCTTAATTCATCTTCATCCTGTTACATGTTACATTCTTCCTTCCTTTCTTGCTCCGTTATCTGCTTAACCTTCTTGCCGCTACACCGGGTTTCGGCTGTTCCTTCTTTTTTTCTCTGCATCCTTCAAATTTTTCGGTAAAGTCCAGTTTGGTGTAGAAAATTCAGCAAATTGGTGGTTTGCTCCTCAGAGTTTTCTAACGCATCTCGTAAGCTTGTTGTGTCAATGTCGTTCTCTTGTCGTTGCCTTTCGTAGTTTTTGCTCTGCAAAATCACGTGTCGCACGTCTAAAACCTATCTACAACAACTGGAAATATGATCGGGTCCTTAAAATTATTTATTTACCTATTAAAATTTTATTTTATTTGAAAAATTTTCAAGGTTTAGACTTTTTGATTTGTTTAATAGTTCAAGATCGTGATGATTTTTTGAGTTTTAAAATGTTTTGATATGTTCAGGATCTACACAAAAGTCGAGTTCCAGGATATGAAAATTGGAATTCTTGACGTAAAATTGAAAAATATGTCTCCTTTGCCGGTTTTTAAAAATGTGGGATTTTTAAAACTTTTCTATTGTTATTTTTTAACATAGACTACGTCTTACGGGAAGTTACAGCAAAGAAGAATAGTAAGATGAAACAGTCCGAAGAAAAAACTTTCAATTTTAGTGTCCTCTTTCACAGTCTTTTGACGTACGACTACGTCTGTGATTTCTAAATGGGGGTACACTTTGTGAAAACCGAAATTGGAACATGTAACAAAATTATGAAAGATTTTGAACGTTAATAACTCAGCTGCCCCTGGACCAATTTCAATAATTTTATCACCAATCGATCCGAAATATTTCTACGCATCTGATAAGTTTAAGACTTTATCATTTTTTAAATGTCACTATTGAAAATTACACGTATGTACAACTGTTGCTATAATAATTGCGCAACTGTTGCTGCGAAAAGCGATTTCCCTAACACAGATTTCAAAGTTGAATTCCATCCAGTCTCACAAGACGGTGTTTATTCAATCACCGCGTGGTGAGTGGCGGTGTTCTCCAGTACACAAGGAAAGGCTCCCCGTTTTGCAGCTAGCTATCAAGGCTGCCATCAACCGCTGATCGGATTCAGTTCCAATCACCGTGTGTGGTGGTGTCCGGTCGTCGGCATCAGCAGCAGCAGTGCTTTCGGCGCGTGGCATTGAACACTGTTCTCCAGTACACAACAAAAGGCTGCCTGCAAGCAGCGAGCTGCAGCCCACACGAGTATCCATAGGAATCGGATCATGAACTTGCTGAAAACTTAAAACGATTAAGTAAACATTTTTTCAATGATAGTAACGTCTCTTAGTAACGTGGTTACTGCTTGAACTGCATAACTGCATGTGTGTATAAAAAAAATGTGGTTCCTTCCCGTTTTTGGCAACACGCGATTTCTGTCTTTTTTTTTAATTCTATAAAATGTATCGAACGCTTTATACAATGTGCCAAAAACGGGTAGTACCTGGTTTTTTGGTGGAAAATCAAGGAATATCGCAAACAGTTCAGTTTTTTGTCCAATAGGTGTCGCTAGTATGTAAGTGCAGGGCTGTCATCTGATCACTCAATGCGCGCAATGTACACTGAAAAATATTGAAATCTAAATAGTATAAAAGTTACGCTAAATCGCAACTCTCCGTACCGACGCAAAGGTCGGTATAAAGTGAGAGAATGCAAACTTAGTATAAAAATGGTTTATGCGTGCCATAGTAAAAAATCGAAATATACTTACAATGAATAGATACGGTTTATTCGAGAGAATGTATGTTTCGCTTCTTTATTTTATTTATGGTAAATATTATTGTTTTCAAATTAAAATTAAAATTGTCTCAGGAGGGGTTTTTAATAATTTTATTTTTATGAATATTATTTAAAAAATACTTACAATTTCGATGTTCATTTTGATGAACTCGTGCTCACGCATGCTAGCTGCCCAGCAGATCACAGGCGCAGTAGTAATCCGCTGGGATGAAGCTCTTCACCAGCACGAAGCTCCGAGTGAACCCAGATGTTCCCAGAACCCAGATGTTCTTTTTCTCATCATTTTAGTAAACACTGATCGAATTCCACTCCGTTATTCGGACTTAGTATAATTTTGACGAAAATTTTAATCTTACCAATGTATAAATTTTGAAAAACCATAAAATGCTTACAATTTAATCTATATTCGTTTTGTAATATTATCCCAAATTCCCCACCAAATCCAACAGAACCCCTCCACCGATCAAATTCACCAGTACTTCGTCCAGCAAACTGAGCTACCAAGGGTGGAACGTAACAGTCCAGCAAGTGGCTGGTCACGCATATGGCGAAACATTGCAGCGAGGCAACTTACTTCAGCGCAGAGGACAAAGCTTTACTTGTTGGTGAACGAGAAGATAGAGCACCGCAAACTGCTATTCGTGATGCGGCGAGTAGATGACGAAAACTGTACGCATTGTGGCAACCGTACAGCAGAAACTCTCTCGCACAAATTTTGTGCTTGTGCTCGCGTCGGCCCGGCTTGGACGGTTCTTCAGCAGAGAATAGCAGTCATCTTGGGTGGATGGAGGCGACTCGAGTTCGAAGACTTGCTAAGACCTGCCCTATTAGGAATAAACGACAGACATAGAGTGGCAATTCTGAATATGTTTATTACATATATCTGCTTCGTTAACGATTGTAACGGAAGAATTGATTTAGCTGATTTGAACTTTAATCTTGATGTAGCAAATTGACGGTAAAACACAAAAACTTTGTATGCTAAACTGACAAATAAAACTTCACTTTTACAAAAAAAAAAAAAAAAAAAAAAAAAAAAGTGTACTGATTTTCTAAAATATATAAAGTGAGAATCAAGCAAACACAAAGTTAGTACCCCCTTAAAAACCGGGTTTTTTACCATAACTTTTTAGTTTGAATATTACAATTTTTTCAATGCCCTACAAAGTTGTAAGCGCCCTAAAAATGCACATTTTTGCTCAATGAAGCAAATCGCTATCTTTTCAGGTAAAGGATTTACATCCGTTTTTATAATGTTTCAAAACTAAAGTTCGCTGAGTTCCTGCACTTTTGGCGATTATGAGTGAACTAAACTCAAATTTGAGTCGTTCTCATTCGCCGTGTATGCATGCATTCGTGGTAAGCCAAGTCTGCAAAGAATTTAAATAAGACATTAGCGCTTGTTGTATTATATTCGCTCCCTGCACCGCACGGAGTGTATCGCTCATTGTGTGGATCGATTTCTCACAGATTAGTTGGAAAAGAGTGTGCGAAGTAAATGGGAGAACCACTCACTTTTTGTCGAGTGTTGTGAGATGCATGCACAAAGTTGCTTTGCTATCGGTCTGAGGTGCTTTCCAGCATTCCAGCCCTGTTAGTGATCATATCTCGAAGTTGAGAACACGCAATAAGCTAATATAAAGCAATAACCTTGAAATGCGAATAAGAAGAAGAAGAAGATGATCATAACGAAAGGTCTTCGAATTACCTATCAAATTGAACAGCAACCGCTAAACAGTATATCCTGGAAACCAACTGGTTTGATTAAATTACTTACAAGCAGAAAATTGAATACACACTTTTTCCTTTGATAATCATATAAAATAGCCTTTATTTGTAATATTTTTTCTTGCAATCAGTGTTCGCGTCCAGCGGTGCTCTTCACTCTCGCTAGTGCATTCCAAATATGTCATCATTTCATCACACCTCATAAACACGAAATACTATGCGTTACGTTCCATTCTCAATACAAACGATTGCACAAAAAATAGTCCTAAGTTTACACAAATACGAGCGAATCAAAAATAAATAACTCCTCTTTTAGCGTCTTCTCATTTTCCTCTCCTCGCTTTCTCTATCTCTATTCAAAAAAATTGCGTTACGATGCCCTTCGAGCTAGAGAATTTACACATCACGATCGTTCCTCGCCAATTCTTCAATTACACAATAGCACTATAAACTGTCAACTGTACAGGATAAATGGTCAAATGAAAAAAAAATCTACCTAAACTTGACTTCGATCCTAATTTACACAAATAACATCTTATTGGGCGTGCCATTGCTATTGCTTAGTAGCAGGTTGCCATTCGAGTTACTACTGCTACTATTGTTACTGATGCCCCCATTCTGGAAGTAAGCGGCCGTTCCACCATTCGGCATCCCTCCCCCATTGCTGGCGAAGCCATTTTTTCCAGGATGGTGATGGGAACCACCATTGAGCAGGCTCGTATCCTCCAACGGCTGGTACTTGATGTTGTTGTTGATACTGGCGTACGGTAGGATGGTTTCCTTCGGTACCTGCGTTCGGGAAAAGTATTTTGCCTGTCGATAAAAAAAAAAACAATCGATTGAGCTCGAGTTCGCCGTGAATTGACCGTCTGGTTTCGTTACCCTATTGTAGCACAGAACACCCATGATGGCCACCAGCATGCCGAAAATGTTGACCCACGTCACCGGATTGCCCAGGATGAACAGGGAAATTGCTATCACAAAGATGCGCTTGCTAGCGCTGGCCACCGCGTAAGTCAGTGGCGTCACGATCGAGAGCACGCTGAACGCCAGTATGTTCTGCAACCAGTTCAGGACCCCATCGGTGAACAGCAGCGCGATCACTCGGTAATCGCCGGTGGTCTACCAAACAAAATGACTCATGTTAAATTTGAATCGTCCATTGCCCAGTTAGCACTTAGAGATACTCACGATGGCCGGGTGTTTCATCACGTTGTACAGATCGAAGTAGATCCACAGCGGTAGGAACATGAACAATGCCAACCGACCCAGGATGTGCAGTAACCGCAGGTGATGGACACCCGTTTCCTTGAGGACCTTCTTGGAGAAGATGTTCTGCAGCGAGAATCCCATCGTTGCCAGTAGGGCACTGACCAGGCCAATGCTGTCGAACGACAGCTCCGTCAGGGTAGCGATGCCAACACCGACGATGATCGGCACCAGGCTCAGGTAGATGGCCTTGGTTTGCCGTTCCCGGAGGATGATTCGCGATAGGATCACCGTGAACAGCGGCATGGTGGCTTTCACTGTGAAAAGAAGAAATCAGAGAGAAAGAAAGAGATAGGTCAATGATAGTGGTTGGAAATTTGCTTCGGTCTGGGAATTCGTTGGAATTGATAAGATGTTGTTTACATTTACGTTCACGTCGGTAACTTGAGTGTACCGTTGCTGATAAGAAAATTAAAACGTGCTTCCGCCTGCAGAGTAGATTTCCGTTTACAACACAGCTGTTAAAAGTAGTAAAGTGTTTTCTTTCTGATTAACAAATATATGGTATAGGATACTTCAACAGCTTTTGTTGGCAAGCGGGGGAGGAATGAAAATGTTTCCCATATCTTGGCAGCCAAATCGAGATGGAGATCAAACAAAATCTGCCAACGTACCAACATTCGAATTTGTTGTTTCAGAAACTGGATTAGGTCCTTTTCAAATGTTCTGCGAGATGTCGGTCTTCATTAACCCATATGCATAATTCGTGCTTGGTGGTCTCACTACTGAATCTATCTCGAATGCTCCATCGTCGCTGACTTCATAAGTCAGTATGACCCAAAATTCGAGAATGCAAGTGGAGATGGGTCGGTCACGCACTGTGAAAGGGTGGAAACGGAATCTACAAGCAAGCGATGGGGATTGGAAACCCAGCTGGACATTTTAGCCACGTCAATAAATTTGAATCAGTTGACACTGGACAACATTACTCTACTGAATTGCTAACTCATTTCGAGTTTTGGGATAAATTTATAACTGACATCGAAATTCACAGAACATCACTTCAATATCGGCCTTAAAAATCACTGTTTGTAATTAACAATAGTCTTATAATCTCTATTTCTTCTTTTCCATTTCAGAGAGAATAAAAATACAACGGATTATATTGGCGAGCGCAATTTAGATCGGTTAGTTGAATCTCGCTAGTTGAAGGATTCCAGCAGGACCAGAATTCTGAATCCGTCTTGAACAGTAAATCATATTTTGCAATATCGCATCGAAAACGAACAAACATGTTGAACGACAATTTGCTTAATTTTTCATCGTTCATCTAAAAACATCATTTGATTCAGAAATTTACTGGCATCTATTCTTGAATGAAGAAAATTATTGAAGTCGATGATCGACGTGTCTGGACACCATTTGTTCATCGGTTTCAAATCAGCATACGACACAATTGATTGAGAACAGCTATGGCAGATTATACAAGAGTACGGATTTCAGGAATAACTGGCGTGATTGAACAAGGCGACGATGAATCGCGTGATGTGTGTTGTTCGAGTATCGGGGACGCTCTCGAGTCCCTCTGAATCTCGAGGGGGGTTACGGCTAGTTGATTGACTTTCGTGTCTGCTATTCAACATCGCTCTGGTGGAGCGGAGATAGACACGAGTGGCAAGATCGCTTCAGGAAGTCCATCCAGCTTCTTAGCTTCGGCGATGACATCGACATCATGGCGCGAAACTTTGAGGCGATGGCGGAAACGTACATCAGACTGACGCCTAGAGCCAGGTGGATTGGACTTGAGGTGGTCGACGAGTTCGTGTATTTGGGCTTACTGGTGACCGCCGGAAAATGATGCCAGCAGAGCAATTCAAAGACGCATTATGGCAGGGAACCGTGTCTACTTTGGACTCCGAAAGAATTCGCCTGAGCACGAAGTTGACAATCTACAAGACGCTGATTAGACCGGTGGTCCTCGACGGCCTCGAGACCTGGACTATGCTCGTTTTCGAACGGAAGGTGTTGCAGACCATCTACTGCGGATGGAAGACGGAATGTGGAGGAGGCGAATGAACCACGAATTGCACCTGCTGCTGGATGGACCATGCATCGTCCACCCTGCAAAAATTGGGCGACTTCGGTGGGCTGGGCACGTCGTAAGAATGCCGGACGATGACCCAGTGAAAATGGTTCTCGAAAGCGACCCAACTGGAACTAGAAAATGAAGTGCGCAGTGGGCAAGGTGGATCGACCAGAAGGCAACCTCCGGACCCTGCGCGAACTTCGACGTGTGGCTATGGGTCGAGTATAATGGAGATGCCTTCTTCGGACAGCAAAGGAAGTCAAGGCTTTAGCCTGATTGCAGTTCAAATAGATCCAAAGCTACTGAACTGCTTTGGCTATGAACCCAAATATTGGATAATGAAGATTAATCGAAGAATTTTGTAATCCTTTAATTAAAAAAAAAATCCAGGAGCAGCACTTCGAGGTCGCGGATATAGAAAACTTTAAATTATTGCGTTGCGTTACGTTTGTAACGGATTAATTCTTAGATTGCGTACTAGCAAATGTCATGACGCTGCCCAAGGAAAACTATTAGCTTGATAGCTCTCCAATCAACGTTCAGAATAGAAAAAGCATGACAATTACCATTGCCGATCACGCCCATCTTCTCCTTTACGGGCAGAGATGCCAGAATTACAGACATGTCTGTGAATTTACAGACTTTTTAGTTTTTTTTTTCACAGACATTTACAGACTTTTGTAATCTAAGGAAAATTTTAAAATTTATTTGGTTACACTGTTTTACATCTTTAATCAAATCACACGTGCGATGCATTTTGCAACACGCATTAGAAATTCGCGCGTTTTCAAATCCACCACACGAACGAGCTGTCACTGTTATAGACGGTCATAGTTGTAGACCTGTCAATGTGCTGCCATGTTGTAAAAAAACGGACATTTTTCATCACGGAGAAAAAATACTTCCCAAAATTTGAGTTCTTTTTACTTAATATTGAGTTCAGCCTCTCATTTGCCCTCGTTCTTGTTGTCAAAAAAGGAATGAGAGATTCGACCCAACGATATAGTTCAGCCCAATAAGTTACGTTTGAGTAAATTGCGTATTCTCAAATGTACGTGAATTAAACTTAATTTTGGGTAGACTATACTTAAGAGTAGGTAATTTTTTTGCTGGTGTTAAATGGAAACTACTATATGCGATTTACTCAAATTTGGGTTATTGCGCTTGAACCCCGGAATTAGGGAAAAGTACTTAATTTTGGGTAGTTTTTCATCTCCGTGTACGGTTTGAAGGTTTGTTTGGATACGTCGCCGGCGCCCGTGGTGTAGTGGTAAGCGTGGCTGCTTTCTAACACCCCAATGGGTCTGGGTTCAATCCCAGCCGAGGTCGGTGGGATTTTTCTGAGGCATAAAAATCTCTGGTCACGTCTTCCTTCGGAAGGGAAGTAAAGCCGTTGGTCCCGGCCCATTGTGTTAAATGAATGGGTGCGATATCCTACGCAGGTGTGGAAGCTGCCTTCCTGCACATTCGATTGCCGTCAATGGATGACAATCGATGTCCGTCGGTGATTGCCACTAGATTGCGGATAAGAGACCGACGTTAAATAAAGGAATGAAGAAGAAGAAGAAGGATACGTCAACTCCGGTTGGCCGGTATATAACTTGACTGTCAATAGTCACTGTCACTGATAAACCCAAATGTGCGGAACCCAATGTGCGATCAGGATAAAATTCAATAGCGTCATATGGGAGAACAGTTTAAACGAAATGGAAGCGGTTTCACTCAAATTGCCAACGTCGAGAAAAGTGAGTGAGAAATTTTGTTTACATTTCAAAATTTCACTTTTTCGATCATGAATACGCACTTTTTCTCTGATAGATTTCAATGAGGTTTTATGGAAAATCAATATAAATACTTGCACTAATCACTATGTTGAGTGATTTGAGGTATCGCACGATGCATTTCGGTGCATGTCAGAATCTGTCCACTTCCCGGGGGTACTCGGTACATCTGAAAGAGGCCATTGGGTCTGAATATGTCCACCATTGATCTTATAGTAAGATTCTAATGTGATTTGAGGTGTTGCATGATGAGTGTTTTGATATATTAATCTATTGTGAATTCCCCAGTGGAATCTGGAATTCACATTTTTGTTCATATCCTCGGAACCATAATTCCGATCGGGAAAAATCAATAGCGATCTATGGGGATCTAAAACACATCTTCTGGAACTTGTTTTACTCAAATTGATCCAGCCATCTCTGCGAAAATTGAGTGAGTTACACTCATACGAACTTACATACGCACTCCCGAGATGGACAATTGGGCAGTTCCACCAGATGCTAGATGAGCTCACCGGAGAGCTCATTGGACGGAAACCAGTCATCGCAGGAGATTTCAATGCTTGGGCAGTGGATTGGGGGAGCAGATGTACCAACGCAAGAGGGTATAGCCTGCTGGAAGCTCTGGCAAAGTTGAACGTCAGTCTGGTCAACTTAGGAACCAGCAGCACCTTCCGCAAAGATGGTAGGGAATCCATTATCGACTTGGCTAATGGCAAATATGAACTGGAGAGTGTGCAAAGAGTACACCCATAGTGACCATCAGGCGATCCGGTACAGTATCGGCGAACGGACACCGGTGGAAATGCGGAGGACGAAAGTAAGCGAGCGGAAGTGGAAGACGAAGGCATTCAATAAGGATCTTTTCATCGAAGCTCTAAGGGTAGACAGCAGCGTCCCGCGGGCCTAAGCGCGAACGAGTTGACCGAATCATTAGCAAGGGCATGTGACACAACTATGCCGATAAAACTGGAGCCAACGAACAGGCGGCGTTCGGCTTACTGGTGGAACGAGGAAATTAGCACCCTCCGTGCTACTTGCCTTCTAGCCAGAAGGCGCGCTCAGAGAGCAAGAATGGAAGCAGACAGAGAGGAGCGCAGGGTGGTGTTCCGAGAGGCCAGGGCTGCACTGAAACGAAAGATAAAACTGAGCAAGTCAAATAGTTTCAAGGAGCAATAGGATACCGAGTCGCGATGGCGAAGATCAGAGGTCCAACGATGCCGGTTGAAATGTATCCCAACAAGCTGAAAGTCCTCGTGGAGGGACTTTTCCCACAGCATGACCCAACGACCTAGCCACCTACACCATATGGCGAGGGAGATGAACACAACGTTGAATAACCCTAATAAAAAATAACCATAAACGAACGATAACCCTAATCATTGAACTATTCCACAAATGGTTTGGATGATACCCAGAACACGTCGTTAAGCAAATTAACCATACAATTTTTATTAGGGAAGTCTCCAACGAGGAACTCATAGCAGCAGCGAAAGGGTTGAAGGCGAATAAAGCTCCCGGCGTTCCCGGACATGTTCAGGATGGTGCTGCAGAAATGTCTGGACGAGGGTCAGTTCCCTGATAGGTGGAAGGTACAAAAGCTTGTGCTGTTGCCGAAGCCCGGAAAACCGCCGGGGGATCCTGCATCGTATAGGCCAATATGCTTGCTGGATACTGTCGGAAAGCTCTTCGAGACGAAATGCACGGAGAGTGAACATGGATTTTCGCAGAGGCAGTTCGGATTCCGTAAAGGGAGATCGACGGTGGATGCAATTCGGACAGTGATTGACAGAGCCGAGAAAGCTTCCAAACAGAAGCGGAGAGGAAATCGATACTGCGCCGTGATTACGATTGATGTGAAGAATGCATTCAATAGCGCCAGCTGGGAGGCCATCGCCAAGGCGCTCCATAGAATGAGGGTTCCAGACTACCTCTGCAAGATTCTAAGTAGTTACTTCCAGAACCGGGTCCTAGTCTACGCGACAGATACGGTGCAGAAATCGCTTAGAATCACGACGGGAGTTCCACAAGGCTCCATTCTAGGTCCCACACTGTGGAACAGAATGTACAATGGCGTGCTGACGCTCAAGCTGCCCAAAGGAGTTGAGATCGTTGGCTTTGCGAACGATGTCGTCTTGACGGTAACCGGTGAGACGCTGGAAGAAATGGAAATGCTGGCAACCGAGGCGATAGATACGATTGGTAACTGGATGCAAGGAGCGAAGCTGCAGATAGCCCACCACAAAACAGAAGTGATGTTGGTCAGTAACTGCAAAGCAGTGCAGCGGGCAGAAATCACCGTTGGAGAGCACACCATTGATTCCAAGCGTGTGCTGAAGTATCTGGGAGTGATGGTCGACGACCGACTAAACTTTAATAGACAAATCGAATATGCTTGCGAGAAGGCGGCGAAGGTCATCAACGCAATAGCCAGAATCATGCGGAACAATTCTGGACCAAGCAGCAGCAAGAGGCGTATTCTGGCTAGTGTGTCCTCATCGATACTAAGGTACGGAGGTCCAGCCTGGATTGAAGCGCTGAAAACGAAGAAGAACCAAAGGAAATTGAGCAGTACGTTCCGGCTTTATCGACCTGGGTAAACAGGAAGCATGGAGAAGTCAACTTCCACTTGACGCAGTTCCTGTCTGGTCATGGCTGCTTCAGGAAGTACCTGCATCGGTTCGGACATACAACGTCACCCTTCTGTCCGGAGAATGGGAATGTGGAAGAATCACCAGAGCACGTGGTCTTCGAACGTCCTAGATTTGATGCTGTGCGAGAGGATATGCTCGCCCTTAGCACGGAGAATGTCGTCGAAGAAATGTGTCGAGAGGAGGGCACCTTTAACGCCGTCAGCAGAGCAGTAACGCAGATCACGTCAGCGCTGCAGCGAAAATGGCGAGAGGACCAGCTAGAAAGTAGTAATGTGCTCACACAAGTGCGAAGTGAAAGCCGAAGCCAAGAGCAGTCTTGTAAGCGGTCACGGTAGTCGACACATTTTCTGTGATAATCGACTGTCTTTGCCTCCGACACTTACAAAACAAGCTATCATAGTACAGTACCAAACTCAAATGTCATTTAACATGCTCTGTCATATGACACTGTCGCCGAATACCGTCACGAATGTATGTATTTTAGTTTTTCTCATAATAAGAGCTGCTGATGTTGTGCTTGTGTGAATTCTGCAATGATGTCCTTGGAATAACATTTCTGTTCATAAATGGTTTAATTTACACCAAATTGAGGAATTAGAACCAAATCACTCATGTCATATGATAGTTATTTGATAATTTTCTTTTTGCTCGAATGTTATTCTACCGGTTGTGTTGTGTGAGAGAAACGACGGTAGAGCATGAGTGTACGATTACAAACAGACTGTCACGCACGACAAAGAAGCGAGTGTCGTAAAAAACGTCAACTGTTTCAACCCCTGGCCAAGAGAACTCTCCGTCAGAATAGGCTGAATCCACCACCGTGGTTAACCGAGTAGAACGCGACGCTGGGAGCTAAATGGCTCACAAATTGGTGAGACGATCAGCGAACTGGAAGCACCAATTAGCTGAGGTAAAGTAAAGTGCGTAATGCACGGCCTCCTCCGAAGTAATACGACGTGGTTCCGGGGGAAAAGGGCAAGGCGTCCAAAGAGGTTTTAGTGCGGTAAGAATCCTGTACACAGTGTCACCGCGACTGTGCGCCCAGTCATCAAGCGGTGGCACGATGGCCTTCCGATTGATGACGGGGCGCACAGTCGCGGTCCTCCTTGCAAAAAAAAACAAACATTTTCCGATCCCGTTGAGATGAGTCTATTGGTATATGCCATTCGTCTCTCCGGGTCTTGGAACGTACACCTTGGTGTACGAGAAAGGCAAAAAGGTTGGTATCAGCAAATTGTGTTATATTTAGCCTAGTTTTTCAACCCCAGGTGTGTAATTATTTTGCAAAATGTAATGAATACGTTGCTTGATAACTGTCGTTACAACATTGTTAGTGTTTTGCGTAGTTGGCTTCGTTGTACAGTACTCTCCATTTCTCGATGATGTTTATTTCGATATTCCTTCCTATCTAAATCGTTTCAGCAACCCTGATTCTGATTCATCAACACTTTCTGAGTACAAAGTGTTTATAATCGTATTAATAAGTTTATAGATTGCTCTTTTGATTGTCGATTTATCCATATTTACGTGGCAGAAAATTGAATCTCTCACTAATATGTGCTCGTTCCCCCGCTGCTGGCGTGCAAAAGGACCAGTACTAAGTAACTAACGGATTTTCACACTACATGGCATATAAGAACGACTTATATTTAAGTTTAAATTACTCAAACTCTAGAAAACGTAGTTTACTTTGAGTAAAATTTTCCGGGCCTTCATATTTTTTCAAATATGAGGCGAAAAATTTACTCATTCTAGAAACTGATTTCATATGTACATCTCATATTAGAAAACAAATTCCTGTAAAAGCTCGGAAAGTTTTACTCAGTTTATGAGTTAACTATGTTTTCAAGAATATGAGTGAACTAATCTCCACTTAGAGTTGACCTCATTTATCGTGTAATCGTAATTTTTCTTTTTATTAATTGCTGTTAACGATTCCCAACTCCAATTAGGTTCAATTCGTTAAAAGCAGGTCTTTTTTGCTCGAACATGACTTTTACTGACACTTCAAATTTCGCATCTAATTCACAATCCTGCCATCATTTGAAGCACGCTGCATGCTCATCAATCTACAAATACTAAGGCGTGAATTTGCAATGCTTTCCTTTATCAATGACATTATTTCTAATGACATAGAATCTGCAGCAATACTCTCACAACTAAATTTGTAAGCGCCCTTTAGACCTCTTAAAACTCGAAAATTATTCTATGAAAGCACATGCGCCAATTACGCCAAAAAAGGGTCCCATCAATCGAATGATGTACCTGTATAACAAAAATTGCGATGAAATTGACATCACTATATCCAAAAACCAAATAAAAACTCGACTAAGAGGAAATAGAAATAATGCAGCGTGTAAGCAAAACATTGCAAACAGTGTATGTAGTCTACTTTGCTTGACGAAATAAATAAATATATAAATGCAACGCAGTAGGCCTCGCCGGGTTGACGCTTGTTTCATATCTTTGACGATTGGCGTTATTTAATCCAATTATTTTCCGGGATGTTTTCTCTTACTGGCTTTGTTTCTATAACAGCCATGAAATTTGTAATGTTATCATATTATGTTTAACTAATATTGTACTTCGGATTCTTGGATTGAAATCCACACTGAAAATAATCTCCACGTGAGTGCCACGTGCAATCTCGGTCTCAATTAACAGGTCGGTTGCCATTCAAATTTTACGAACGAACACTAATTTTACGTTAAGTTTCACTAGTGTCTAATTTTCAAATGTAAATTGCGCCCTGTATTCGCTCCGTTTAACCTGTCGCCGACCACAAGAGGATAGTGCGGAGATATCGCAATGCCAGTGTTGTACATCGTGTAGCCGTGTGCAAGATCATTACACTTGAATAATTTCGGACCCATTACCACCACCGCGCTCCGCAGAACACGTAATAACCAAACACGCTGTGCTGCGGTCGTACGTTCGCAAAAGAAAAAAACGCGAACCAGTTTTTTGTAATACCATCGCCGCCGCAGTGCAACTCCTTCATCGCAATGCTCCACATCCACGCCGAAGAGGCAGGAGAAAGAAAGAGAGAGAGAGTGAATCAAAGTTACATTTGAACGAACCAGCTGGAGTGGAATCGAATCGAAGTTCGGTCGATTAGATCATAGTTTTGGTTTTGACCTATGATCATAATTACTCAGGGTGGTTCTTTGCAACCAGCTAGGGCACTTACCCGTATGCGCGTAGGAAACTGGAACCCTCCAGATCGAGATGTGCGAGGTGACCGAGGCAAGGAATTTGCCCAGCGCCAGTGGCACAATGAACTTGAAGTAGTATCGCCACGAGATGTCCACGTACTTGCGGACTCCCCAGAGATTGAAGAACGGCCCACTGTAGACGGTGATGCTGGTCAGCTGGACCATGGTGACCGTCATCGGGTACGGGAACTCGCTCAGGATCATCTTGCCGATGACATTATTGCTGCTGGACACCACATACCACATAATGCACAGGAATGTGATTGTCATCATCTGCCGAGTCGCGGTCTTGTCTACGGCCATGATGATTGAGGCGTCGTCCTTGCGGATCACACAACGATGGCACTAGACGAGGGTGAAAGGTTGCACTTCTCTGCTCTAGCTTCTGTTTCCGTCGAGGGGATACAACCCCTTCACAACGAAAAGGGCACTTGTTTAGTGGGCAGGAAAATGCGCTATTACGTCGACAATTTTTGGTTCACTTCACTGGCACACACAAAAAGTAAACAAACACTAGTAACGCGGACGATTCTTAGTGGTCAAAATGGATAATTTCCCTTGGAAAGAGCACATAATTGTTGACACCGTCAGTGCTTTTCTCATCGTGAACTATTGACGTTTACATTTTTCATTTTTCGGACACGACAACCACGACGCGAGACGAAGACCATGGCGAGACGACGTTCTTGACTTGATTCCCCGTGCACGATTACCGACGTACGGCGGACAGAAAAGACACCAGAGCCAAATGGTCGGGTAAGAAATACATAAGGTGGCGCATAGGATTCCTTTGCCAACCACTTGCATTCGTAAAACCGTGCGAGTGTATTGGTATCAGCTGCATTTGACAGCTTGTTGCTTGGTTTTCTGTCACGTCAGCTGCTGTCTTTCATTCACTCACCCACACACACACACTCGCATTTCGAACATTGGCTTTTTCGAAGAAGGCAACCCGATTCAAAACGACTGATTTTTTTCCATCGTTCAATAAAACATTTAGAATTTATTAATCGTAACTACAGGTAGGCAAAACGTCATTATACAACAGGTTCAATCTTTTTGGCGTGAAACAAACAAATCTTCTTACGGTGTACGAGCGAGGGAGGGCGGTAACAATAAGCTTTAAAATGCAATGTTTCATTCGAACCCTTTTGTGCTGCAATCATATTCTCACTCTTCTAGCGGTCCTTCTTGATGACCTTCATGACTTGGTCTTCGCGAACCAAGATTTGGCCCTTCTGCAGAACCAGAATTAAACTGATCAAATTGACGGCGTAGGTCGAGACGCAAACGATGCATAGGTCCTCCAGGACAAAATACAGCAGATAGGCAAGGTAGACGGAGAGCAGGTTGGACAGGCCGATCAGGTAGGTTGTCAGGCGAGTTATCCGGATGCTGTTGCTGAAGGACAGACCGGCCACCAGGAAGTAGTAGAAGATGCCGAAGAATCCGTTCGGGATGTTCAGCGGGGAGTCCTCGCCGAGGAGCGGTCCTATGAGCCCGAAACCGCGACCGTAGCTGGAAGGAAAGAAGGAGAAATGTTTGTTATTTCGTCGGATTTGGTGTGTAAAGCAAAGGGGCGACATCTTATCCATTTGATATGTCTTCTGCTGGATTGGAATAACTTTTCCTATGAATTCAATATTATATTACAAATAAGTTCAGCCTCTTTAGTGTAAACCAAAGTTGAAGTTCGACAAACCGACATGAATGAGCATAGAAATTACCATGAAATTACTGCTCAAAGCACACTACTGACATCGTTTATCCAAGCTACGAACACGCGTGCAAGACTTATGGAGATGGTTGGTGTCTGATCTATTCTGGACTAGTTATTTTTATTTGGATAATAAATTTCTATGGTTTTGACAGATGGGATACATTTGAATCGGACGTTATAGATTTTCGATCAAAAGTTATGTTTGAGATTCATGTCGATTTGTTGGTGAAAAAAGGTCGGTTATACGAATCTGACAAATATTAGTAGAATTGTGAAGCCCTCATCAAGAAGATTTCTGGACATCGAGATTTTCCAAATTGTTCATCTGCTAAACTATGGCTATTCGCATAACAGTCCCATGTTATATTGATTTTATGGAGATATCCATGGGACTGTTATGCGAATAGCGACAGTAAAACGATTATCATTTGTTTTAAATTCCTGAATTTGTTCTAAGAATCTTCAATCACATTTATCCTAGATCTGGAATGAACTCAGAAGGTTGTTACCTTTCTTCTAAGAAATCTAAACTGCCCGTTAGTTCGAAGGGAGTGATTCTAGATGAGATGCAGGGAAGATTTAGCTTTTCTGTCGTAGATAGAAAGAATATTGTAGATTTCCTGCAAACAGATGCGGGAAATGAATGAAGATTTTTCGTTTCGTGAGGTTTTTCGAGCATCTATGATTGAGAAATAGATATCACAGCCCTCCTTGATTGGGTCCGGCCTACTTGCCTTTCATTTTCACTAGAGACGGTCTAGTATAAGAGAGGAGCGGATTCAAATCGAACTGCCTTGGCAACATATGCCTAGGTAAATTCTAGCAACACTGCCAATGCAATCAAGATAGGTGCTGCTCGATTGGCTCTGGCTTTGACAGTTCGTTTGACTCAAAACCAGCCAGTTCGCTCCTCTTATACTAAAACCCTCTTTAATTTTCACTATTTCGGGGTATGTTGAGATTAGGGAAAAGTACTTTTGCAGACAATGACTTGAATCGCCGAATTTCTTGGTAATAAAAGTTTACCCTCGCTCAAGATAGCTTAGTCAGTAAAAGGCAGGTTCAATTCCCGGAACTTTTATCGTCTTCCTGGATATGCCACACAATGAATTCATGCACTGGGAGTCATGAAAGCTCTCAATTAATAACTGGAGTTGCTTCAAGAACAGTAAGTTGAGAGCAGGTAAAAAGCTCGCATAGGAAGTATCAAATGCCAGATAGGAAGATCAGTCTTGATACGGGAACTGGATGTAATGTCGGCCTAAATGCCCCTAGTTTGGGCCCATACATAAATTCAGCAATCGACTAAATTTTCAATAGCGACCAAAAATATCAATTTGTACCGTCCCTATGACGCGTTCATCTAGATAAAATTGATAAATAGCATATTTTTAGCAATGGACCCAATCTTAGATCCATAGGTCAACATTAGAGCCATTTCCCCTATTTCTAGATAAACATTTCAAGAGGTCCTATCTGCATTGATCGATTCTCTTCATCGATTTTCTCTTTCGTTAATAACTCAGCTGCAAAACCTTTCCATGTAGTATTTGACGTTTTGGACGCTAGATAAGAACCTCCTTTATCAAACTATGTGGTAGTAGAATTAGCGCGAAATCTGTTTGCATAGCAGTGGTTATGAAAAGAGAAAGTCGATGAAAAGAATCGATCAAAGCAGATAGGACCAATTGAAATGTTTATCGAGATTTAAGGTAATTCGTTGTGGAAACCTTATTTCTGATTGATCTTAATATCCCCTTAAAATTTCAAGAGCACAAATATCCCATTAAACATACAGATATGAAACTGGATCTTCACGTTTGCTGGAGTGTAGCAAACAGGAAGTTCCAATTTCATGAGCGGTGTCGCAACAGTCACCGACATTTGTGATCCAGAAAACTTGAAGTGATAGGGCATATCAGCCATCATAACGGTAATTTATGGACCCTTCATGGAATCACCTTAACGGGCATACAAGTTTTTCAAATTTCTCAGTTAATAAAACCTACACTGTACCAAAACATCATTCTCTGTTCGAATGAAACCTCAGACCATTCAAATCGAAATCGCTTCCTCGAATGATAGCTGCAACCGGTTGAAATACGTAATGCTTACTGTAGAACGATTGTCATCCTAAATTGAAATGCATATGATATTGGTTCAGCCCCATAACGCAAATCATCCAAAACGATGATGTAAATAATTCTATCGAACGTCATTTGCTGATCTGAGCTGACAAGCGAGGTGGAAACATAATCATCGCTATCATAGGTGGTACGAACATTGGTAAGGTGTGGAAATCGAAGATTGTCTATTTCGTGCACGGCGAATGAGAACAACACAAATTTGAGTTTAGTTCACTCATAATCGCCAAAAGTGCAGGAACTCAGCGATGAGTAAAATTTGTCTCATGATTTCCTGTGGAAAACCTAAAAAATCTGCCGGAAAATGAGAAAATTGCCGAAAATTTTATACAGTCTCGGAGTAGTACCAATAGACTGAGTAAATCCAATCTTTACTTTTCTCAAATTCTGGAATTTTCCCCTGGAAAATCCTGGAAAAACATGAGGCAAATTTACTCATCGCTGAGTTCCTGCACTTTTGGCGATTATGAGTGAACTAAACTCAAATTTGGGTCGTTCTCATTCGCCGTGTGGTGGAGGATGTTTCCTCTACAAACAAACGATTTTTGCACCCATGATGGCTATTCATGGCTATTCAATATGGAAATGTAAACAATCGAAATATACATCTAATTTTAAGCAAGCCATCCTATTATTAAATTGTTGTTTTGTGAGAGCTGTATTTTCAAATACTGAGAGCCAATTTTCAAATAAATATCATCCTTTATTTGGATGACAGGCATATGTATACAATGTTTTTCTTAAAATAAATCCAGACGATCTTTTAAAAAGGGCTGATTTTTTTCAAACCAAAAGTTGCAGCTTGTATGACGGATAGCACCGTACTCAGCGAGTGGAAAAGGTGACATTAACCACTAAAACATTTCTGATGGGCGGGAAAATTGCTCCCATGTCCCTTGAATTGTCTATTTTCTTTACTTTTTGAAAATGTTCTCAACCTCTACGAAGTTCCATAACTTATCTCATTTTGACCAAGATCTCCTCTAAACTTTAGGAAAAGACTTGAACTTTCTCTACGAATTTTCCCAAACATTTGGGCGATATGAAATCCCGAATCAAATCCTGAAGTTCAAAATTCTCTGAACTTCTACGAAGTTTGTTGAGCTTCTCAATTTTGGCTGAACTTCTACGAAGTTTCTTGAACTTTTACAAACTTCCTTGAATTGCTTGCTGAACTTCTACAAAATTCTCAGAATTCCTATCAAGTTCGCTGCACTTCTACAATGTTCCCTGATTTTTTTTAGAATTGCGTTGATTTTATCCTAAGTTCCTTGAAGTTCTAAAATGATTCCGGAATTTCCTGATATATTTTATGTCCATTAAACTTTATCCGAAGACAACATATCAAGAAGACTGGCAACTCTCCCATTTTCTCATACGACCGATATGAGACAGACACAATCGCGTCATCTGCCGTTCAAAGGTAAATGCTCCGAACGAATTGGATAGCAAAGGTTTCATCCTCAGAAGAATGATTTGTTTTTATTTATTTTTTCCTTGATTTGTTTTCCGTCGATCTTGTTTTCTGTGTTGAGCACCAATGCTACCGACGCCAGGGAGGCAGCTCCCACACCTGGACCCTACCAATCGACCCATCAACTCATGAACCGGGGACCAACGACTTTTCCTCCCTTCCGAAGGAAGACGTGATCAGAGATGTTATGCCTCAGAACATCCCGGCGGCGCCGACTGGGATTGAACCCAGGCCTGCTGGAGCTAGAGGCAATCATGCTTACCATTACACCACTGGTGCCGCTGTTATTTGCGAAAGAAGTATTAACATTTTTCTAGGACTGTCAACTTACATTTTATATATTCAAAATATGACAATTATTCCAGGCCGCACAATTTTCTTAACTTGTTTGTCTTAGAGATCTCGAATGTTTAAGTCCCAGCATTGAAGAATTGGTCCAAAATTTCTAATGTTGTTTTTTTGAGATAAAGATTTTAAGTCCTAAACGCATGCAAAATTTTCTACACGGCTAATAAATCAGACTCATATGTGAGTCCCGTTCTAATATGAGTAAATTTTTACTCAAATAAGATTAAATGTCACTCATATTTGAGCGACATTTATTCATATATGAGTGACATTTACGCATATTTGAGTTAAAGTCCTGTGACCTACGTTTTTTTGCGAATTTAAGTGAACGTGACTCAAATATGAGTCAGATTCATTTGCCGTGTATGTCCACGATCTTTCGGAAAATTTTCCTCGTTCCAGAATGATAAGATTTATTCTGAAACTGCACGGCCAATGAGAACGACCCAAATCGGAGTTTACTTTACTCATAATTGCCAATAGTGCAGGAACTCAACGATCGTATTCCGGACATAGTTGAGTTTAACGGGATCGCTGCTAGCTCCCCTGTCGATGTTGCTAACTTGTTTGCGAGCTTCTTCCAATCAGTTTACAACACAAATTCACCACCTCTAAATCCTTCAAGTTTCGATCTCATCCACGAGTACAACCTGAATATCCCAACGTTGCGCTTCTCACCGGACGACGTTATGAAAGCCTTGAATGACCTCGATGTTTCTAAAGGCCCTGGGGTAGATGGTATTCCCCCATCTCTGCTCAAATATTGCGCACGCTCACTCGCTTCTCCGATCTCCTGCATATTCAACCGTTCGCTGAGCGAAAGATCATTTCC